AATTTCATTCTTAACAAGGGTTTCAAAACTCAGTTTGCTTAATTTTGGGTTGGGTCCTAAGTTTACTTAATTCTAAGGATCAGGAATTAGAGTTCATGTGATTTGCTTAATATTGTATGAGAATTTAGGGTAGGAAGGGATGAGTTATTAATTCTTAGTCGATTTATGATTGAACCAATATGGATAAGCTAGGGGTTAATATCTTTTGTTAATTGATTCTCTCTACCTGTGTTTTCACTTAGAATGTTTGGTAACCTAAAAGCTACAAACTCCTCCTTTTATTGTTTGCTTCACCTAATGCACAATTCATGTTTGATATATATTTGATCTTACTTAATGTTCACAAGAAGACAATTTAGGTTAATTCAACCTAGTACTACATTAACTTTACTTATATTTTGACAATCCTTTCATCATTCTCTTTCTTCTTTATAACCTCTTTTTGAAACTAAATGCTTTGAACATTTAGTTTCTTACAATGGTTGTTTAAATTTTTGTTTATTTTTTAGCTTAACTCCATTAATTTATCTTAATATTTATGTGTTTCTTTTTTTTTTTTGTATTTTTTTTTCTTTCTTGTCACATCTTTTTTTTTCTTTCTTTTTTTCTTTGAGACAAGTGCACTCAATATTAAGTATCAACATCATTGCTTATAAGGTTTAATTAGTATTTATTCTCTTTAAAAATTATACAATTTAGTCTTACTCCTTGTAAAAAAAATTTATAATATAATTCTTACTTTTTTAGGAACTATTATTTTTAGTTCATCTAACTAATATAATCCAATAAAAGTTTATACTTAATAATATCTCAATAAATTACATTAATTAGATGAGTTAAAAATAACATTTTATACAAAAAAGTAAAACCTTAATAATAAATTTTATAGAAACTAAATTTAAAATATACAACTTTTATAAAGACTAAAACACTTTTTACATATATTAAAAAAAACTAATAACATATGTTAAAAGTCTTTCAACGTACATTAATTCTTATATATAATTCATGGTAAATGCTAACACAATTTTAATAAAAATATTTTTTAAAATTTTTTAACAAAACTAAAAATAGTCATATATATCATTTTAAAATACAAATAAGGGAGTGAAAAAAAAACTAAATTTTAGCTCATGTCATTCACTAACAAGTTTGCTTTTTTAACTTTTTATTTTTTTATATTACAATAAAAAATTTTAATTTTTCTTAAAATATTTTTAATAAAAATTCAAATTATTAAATTAAAAATAATTTTTTTTCTAATACTGAACAACCTCTAAATTATTTTATTTTTGTTTTAGATAGTCTTTGTTGCATTTCTTTATTTCTTTCTATTGCTTTTAAGCTTCGTTGTTCTTCTATCAACTTGAGTCTTTGAATGTATTCTAAGTATTGTACTCTTCAAATATATCTATTGTATTAAATGCACAATAGAAAACTTGATTTATTTGTTGACTTGCTATCCCAAACACTTTTTAAAAATAATTTTGTGAAATTAAAATTCTATACTTTAGAAATTAATTTTTAAATTAGTTTCTAGAATTATGATTCAACACTTTTTGGAAACAAAATTTTGAAATTAAATTAATTTTCAAATTTATTCTTTCAAACTTTTAAAAATTAATTTTTAAAATTACTAATTATTTTAAAAAATAAGTTTCAGAAATTAGGATATAAATAATTTTTTTAAGATAAATTAACAAGTTTAATAGTACGTGCAATGTTATTTCATTTTAAAATAAATATACATATAGTTTAATAATTAAAAAATAAAATTTTATAAATTTAAAACATCAAAATATGTTGTAAAGATCCAAATATGTAAAAATTAATAATTTTATATAATTATAAAATCAATCAAATATAATACACTAATAAAAATTGGATCAATTATGATGCATGTCTCAATAAAAATGTATTTTACAAATATATTGTTAAAAAATATAAATATTAAAAGATACACCTATTGTATATAGAGAGAGAAAGAAGAGTAAGAGATACTTTTTAATATTAAAAATAAATTTGTTATAATTAATTTAAAAATTCGTGAGATAAGTATTTAAAAACAATATAAATTTCAAGAAAAAAAGATAAATATAAAGAATTTTGCATTTTTTAAAAGTAAGTTTATATAAAATTGTAAAATTGAAAATAAAAAATAAAACAAAATTTATAAATATAAAATGGATATTTAAAAAATTTAAGAATTTATGTAAGGTAACAAGAAAAAGTTAAGTAACAAAGATAATAAAAGTGAGTAAAAAATAAACTTATTGAATCAAGAGAATATGTAAGCTTCATTTTCCAAATAGTAAACTCTGATTAGAGGTTGATTTCTAAATTTAAGTTTTTACAATTATGAAAATTAATTTATAAAATTATTAAATATTTCTGAAAATAAAATTTAGCAATTTAAATTTTAACTGTTTCTAAAATAAATTTTTAAAATTAAAATTCTACACTTTTATAATTAATATTTTTATGTATGTTTTCAAACTTAAGTTTTTAAAAATATTTTTCTATACAATTTTCCATAATTTAACTTTTAAAAGCCAATTTTAAACATATTTTGAACTTTAAATTCTGCACTAAAATTGAAAATAAAAAAAAATATTTTTTATCATTATAAATATGTTTTTTAAAAAATTAATAGTGTAAAAAAAAATGCAAAAAACAACTCCCGATACAAAATTTAGATTAGCCCACAGTCATAGCAGCAAACAACATACTGGGCAGTAATGGAAAGAGTGAATATATTGACACCAAAAGGACCCTACGGATTACATAGGATATTAGGATACATCACACAGACACACACTATTCTATGTAATGTCAACGTTGAAGAGAGGCTTATGTTGTGTATATCTTTGCATCAATAATTTGCGTGATTAATTCAATTAAACCAACATTTTTTTAGTTAATTAGTTTATTCCACATGTAAACAGAGTCTAATATAAAATTTATGGTCAAAATGGAAACAAGTTCAGTTCCATAAACCTCCAAACCTCATCAGAGTACTCCATGCGATCCTTTTCCTCTTAGAAAATTCTCTATTATATATTAATCCAATTGATTATCCATATTAGATCAATAAGAAAGATAAATAACAGATCTTATTATTAGATATTCATTAGAGTAGAAAGTACATACTCGGATCTATTACGCTTTTGCTGCGGTTAAATGACAGCGGAAACTTTAGTCTAGGTAATGGACTCCACTATGAGTGATTACCGTTCCTGTTGCAAGTTGATTCAAGAATGGTGGTGTTATAGTCTTCTTCAACCAAATCGCTGTAATCCTAATTACAGGGACTTGAGAGCCAAACTCCTGATGGGAAGAAATATAGAGGCAATTTTTTTTTTTATTTGGTCTATTGGGGACCAGCACCGCTAGGGGGGCTTATTTTTATATTCACCTGTTAGGGTTCCCACTATACCGAAATAGGCCAAGTCCGGTATCCACTCATATGGACCCACATTACTTTCTACTGTAATCCAAATGGGCTCACCCGATGCAGATCACTTGCAATTAGCCCAATTAGCGTAAATAGCTTAATATAAATGTATTATTATATTTAATATGTAGCCCATACATTATTTATTGGAATAAAATAATTCCAACAATTCCCTCTTCTTATTCGTTAACTTCTATTATTTTAAGTGGTTCGAGCTTTCAAGGAAAGTGGTGTTCGTGACTTCCACACATCTTCTTAGTTTATTCAGTTAAATAATGTATATTAGATGTTTAGTTTTGCAAAATGTATGATTATGTGCGGAGTCAGAAGTTTGAACTTTGAATCTTAATCTTATTAGTTTCTTAAATTAAGCCCACAAGAAATTTCTTTATAATCCCCTAAACTCAGGCTTAACGTGCATGACTTAGCTGCATTTTTTCGAAAAACTATAAACAAAACCTCACCTTAGAAATCAAGCTACATTTGAGATAGACACGAAACTTCTTTTGCTCACGAAAATTTGAAGTGGGTAGGTAAAAGATATATCATATATAACGCGTGGCAGAAGTACTAAAGAAAAAATAAAAAGCTGAAATACAAAGTTTAATTAACCCAAAACCCCTCGTCTCTAAATATTGGCGACAAATTCTATATCCATCCATTATTAAATCAAAGAGTGATGCCATAAAATATACACAGCATGAAGTTTATGAGTAATGACAAAAACCGCACGCAGAGTTACGTGTATTCACACCCCATTATGCCCAAACAAGTTATAATAAAACCTCCATTGACTAGCAAAGACCCACTGAAATGGACACCTACCCCCCTACTGCCATCAGTTATATTTAATCTTTAATTAGCAGCAACTACGAAAACCAGCATCAAGGCTAAAAGCCAAAATACAAGTCATTAATTAATTATATAATGCTTCTTTCTTCGTGCTTTTATCTTATTTATAAAAAATAAATATTTAATTTATTAAAACGAATACAAAATAGTTATCCATTATAAATTTATAATTTAATTTAAAAATATACAAAATGATGTATTTATATTGAATGAATAAATTATGTGTACCTTGTTAACAAATCTTATAATAAATAATGGTATAAAAAAAACTTAATAATGAATATATCTTAATTTTTTATATTTAAGATAAAAAAGATATTAATAATTGTTTCCTATAAATACGAGTAGAGATAACATTATTTTTCTTCAATTTATATGACCATGCATCTAATCATTGAAGAAAGTTAATACTAGCCATTCAGTTTTACTTTAAATTACTAATAAAATTAATATTTTTTATTGAAATTATATATAATCAATTAATTTTTTACTTTTGAACGTTTCAATCAATCCTAAAATAATAATATATACTACTAAACGATAATCAACATTATGATCATATATAATGTTATAAAAGTGAACACCGTGTCCTATACTTGCAATATAAGGTTTTGTGAGAGAGACTTTGACACAACAGTTGGAACCTATCATCTTTTTGCTTATTCATTTGGCAAAGCCATTTCGTGAAGCTATTATGGCTTCAGGAGAACCATTCGGTAGCAATTACCTTTTGCTGAGGCCAGAAGAGGCGAGTGTTGTGGATCTTGGGCACCTCTTATTATCTTCTAACTTAAACAATAGAAAATTCATAGAGTGCCCAGAAGATGTTGAGGCAAGCGAGTTTCGCCAAAGATGGCTACTCTTCACATCTGTTGTGGCCCAAAAGGTCCTCTTGCTCTCAGCAAACTCATTCAAAAAGGTTGGCGATACGTTGGAGTGGTGCCTCAATTGTCTATCAAGTAATGGAGGCTTAATAAGGCTCTTCCTTAACTTTCTAAGAGGTATAATCCATTGGATCATTAGTTTCTTTCTCTATCTTGGTGAATATCATCATTGCCATTTGCCTAATGCCTGGGTAAACCTTGACGCAAGAGTTGATAACACTGTTTTGTGACATCATGTTTAAATCTTAGAAAACAAGCTTTCCATTTATGAGATTATAGAAGCGTAAGAAAGAATATAGGGAAAAGTTTATGAAACATTATTACCATTCTGGTAAGTTTTTTAAAACTTATTTAAATAACATGAATGTAACTTTTTATATATGAATTATCAAAATACAAACTTTTAACTTTACTAATATTTGTTAGGCTTTGCATGTATGCATGTGAGAATTTATTAATGATTTGTGGAGTTTGAGATTGGGATGTGATACAGGAAAGATGATAACACCGGAAAGATCATCTGCTTCGTTCTTGTCTGTGGTGGGCAACCTTGATACACGAGTTGATTTAGACAAGAACATTGAAGAGAAAGATTCCAAGTACAAAGGGATGCTATCAATGATGGCTTCCAAATTATCTTACGAGAATGAACAATTCATTAGTAACGCAGTCAGAAATCATTGGCATGTAAGTTCTATATATGTAAGCATTTGTGATAGAAGTAGTTCAATTAGAGTAAATGTAACAAAACCTTTTTTTTAGTAATACAATTTTTTTTTCATATTTTGGTGAATTTGATGGCCGATTCGGTATTACATTTTTTTTCCCGGTTATGATATGATTGCAGATGGATTTCTTGGGACTACATAGCTTCTGGAACGGTGAGTAACCATAAGAACCATCCTTTGCAAATTTTACTTAGAAGATACGAAATATATAGATAGGTAAAACTTCGATTCAGCACTGTCACTAGAAATATTTTTACTAAGTTAATTTCTCATAAATTAAACCAGCATTATCAAAGTGGCACCATCGTATGAAGAATATAAAGCACATGTATTGCATAAATTACAACATAATTGGCGGTGTAATCACATTAGAAGTAAAGAAATAGTTGCTAATTAAGGTTACACCACTATTGTTTTCACACAATTTTGAAAACTTTTACTATGAAACAACACAGAATTTATGGTAAGGTAAGAAGTTTTATATCAAAGATTGATTACAAAATATTTTAGTGTACAGTTAATCAACGTTAAACTCAATAATTAAAAAGAAAAAAGCAACTGGAGAAGGTTTAGCAATCCGTCCTCCATTGACTAGTCACATTTTTCTTCCGGTCGACCTAACCTTTGATTTTGATGGTCTGCTTTCAATTTCCTTGCACTAATGTAGAATTTTAGAGTTACATGCGTAACACATTTGTCATGTGATTTGTTCTATTAATCTTTCAATTCATTTGTCACGTGTCTTTAAGGAAAATAAGTTTGTAAGTTCAAATATTAAAAAAAGTGAGAAATCAATAATAAAAACATAATATATCCTTTTACAATATATAAAAGTAAAGAGCATTTAATTATATTTTTATAATTATTTAACATAAATAGTTAAATAATATATAATTATAAGTTAACGGTTAAATTGAAAAAATAATATTCACATAAATTTATTAATTTTGTAATTCTTAATATAACTCGTACAAAAGTTGTAGTCAAAAAAGGTAAAAGAAAAGGACGAAGACAATTAAGTCTTACTATTACTGTACAGCATAAATAGGTGGTGATGGTTCCAAGTTATTTCCCCTCAATATTAGAAGATTGTGTGGTCAAAAAAGGTAAATAGAAAAGATGACAATTAAAACTTTGCAATGGGGGGGTGGTGGGGTTGCTACTACACGGTGTAAAGAGGTGGCTGTGACTGTAAGTCTTTTGGAGTGACAAATTTTCTCTAAAGAACGATATATCTTGGTCCATTCATTGCTCCTAATAATAAAATAGAAAGCATCATATTATCATAATAATTTTTTTTTAAAAAAATTACTTTTTATGAATGCTAATTTTTTTAGACAAAATTATAAGATTGATTAAAGAATTACAAACTTATGAATAAAGTTACACCTCATGAAGAAAGATATAAATTTATTGAAATAATATATGAACCTCCAATAAATATTTACCTTTTATATAACAAGCATTCAGTTTAAACCTTATCCTATTCATGACATTTACATTCATGGGCTCTGGACTGATTTTAAAGTTTCTGATGATTCTATATTTAGATTATTAGCTGAATAGCCGTCATTAGCCAAAGTTTAGAATCACTTTGATTTTGAAAAAAAAATCATTTTTAATTTTTTAATGCTTCTTGTTATTGTTTTTTTTTTTTTTCTTAAAGTTTGAAAAAATAATTTATAAAAATTCAGATTTTTTTTAATGTCAGAAGTTACTTTGAATAGTATTTTTAAGTTATAACAAAGTTTAATACATTAATAATATTAAATATTATAATCTTTAATATTTTATATATAAAATTTAGAATATATATATATATATATATATATATATATTAAAAAAATGGAGGGAGTAAATTGCCGACAAAAGAGAGAAATTGAAAGTTCTCTGCCTCAAATTTGTGATATTTTTTTATAAATTACTTTTTCTCTGTTCCTTTATTACTTAATATTCTTAAAGTGATTAGTTTTTAAAAGTTTTCTAGGGTATCTATTGTTTTAGGCCATTCGTAAATTTTGCAATTATGTAATTATTAGTTTAGGGTGATTAAGTAAATATTCAATATTAGAAGATGTCGATATCTTCACTAATAAAAAGCTTAAGAAGAAACTCCTATTTTGTGTGGATTGTATATAGATTGAGATATAAAACTTACTTACATTAAGGTTTTATACCTATGATTAGTAACAAATCAAATAATAAGAATATGTAAGAGAGTTATGAATCTAAATAATTTATTTAAGAAATTTTAAATAAACAAATCTCTCAAGCATAAGTCCACTCTCCCTCTTCCTTTGTAGACAATAAAAGTTCTAACATTTTATAGGGTATAAATATAATTATAGTCAAAATACAATTTTGTAAAAAAATCATTTTTTCATAAAATTAAGCTAATAAAAGTGTAAAGAGACACCTTAGACAATATGTTATATTATTCTAAAAATAATTTGGTGTAATCTATTTAATAACAATGTACATGTGACATGTTTAGTATTAATTAAGCTATGAAACACGTAAGTTTATAAAAATAGATTTTATATCAAGTAATTTTTGTTAGATTTTTTTTTGTGCTTATCCTGATATTTATAAACATATAATTTTTTTAAATTAATGATTGTGATTTTTTTAATATCTTAAAAATAAAAAAATTTAATATTTTTTAACTTTATTATTTTTAATTAATTATTTTTTTTCAGTCTCTTGTATTGGGATAAGTACTTAGAAACGTGTTTATCTTCTTCTTCAACGGGATTGACACCATATTTGACAATCTAAATGATGGGTTCCAGATTACCAAGAGCTCTGGTCCACACGTGCAATCATATTGCAAGATACCAAGTCTGAACCCAACTTGATTGTGGTTGCATTCAGGGGAACAGAGCCATTTGATGCGGACCAATGGAGAACAGATGTTGACATCTCTTGGTATGAATTGGCCAACGTGGGTAGGATACATAGTGGGTTCATGAAAGCTTTAGGTCTGCAGAAAAACAGTGGATGGCCCAAAGAGATAGAGCAAAGTAGCAGTAGTGGTTGTGCTCAGCATAGTTATGCCTACTATACAATAAGAGAGAAGCTGAGAGCCATGTTGGAGGCAAAAGAGGATGCAAAATTCATATTGACAGGGCACAGCTTGGGAGGAGCCTTGGCCATTCTGTTTGCAACGGTGCTCGTCTTTCATGAGGAGGCATGGCTTTTGGACAAGTTAGAAGGGGTTTATACATTTGGGCAGCCAAGAGTAGGGGACAATCAGTTTGGGGAGTACATGAAGGACAAGTTGAGAAAGTATGATGTGAGGTATTTGAGGTATGTTTACTGCAATGACATGGTGCCTAGGGTTCCTTACGATGACAAAACCCTCTTCTTTAAGCACTTCGGTCCTTGCCTCTATTTCAACAGCTTTTACCACGGCCAGGTATGAATGCAAATTCATTTTATGTGCTTTGTTTTACTCTACTAGTAGAGAGGATATATTCTGACTAAATACTTTTACATGTATTGAAATCAAGGTTCTAGAGGAGGAGCCAAACATGAATTATTTCTCTTTGTTCTGGGTAATACCTAAGATCCTAAACGCAATTTGGGAGGTTGTTAGAGGATTCCTTATCCCATTCGTTAAAGGTAAAGACTATAAACAGAATTGGTTCATGACGGTGTTCAGGCTCATTGGATTGATAATTCCAGGACTACCGGCTCATCTTCCTCCGGATTACGTCAATGTTACCACATTGGGATCCTTACACGAACTTCTAGAAATTCAAAAATCAGAAGATTCCAAGGCTGACTAATGTCAACGTTTTCGTAACCAGCAACTAATTATACATAATCACAAGTCGTTTGCTCTTTTCCTTTCCTTTCTGATATTGGAATGTTCATTGAACAAATTACTTTGAAGATATGTTTTTGCTAGCTGTGGGGTACTCAAATTTAGATAGAATTCAAAATATCCTGGGACCAATAACTAATGACATACGCCAATTTCTCAAGTCCACCAATCCTTTTCGTATTCTCGTGCAAATATAACAGGATGGCATGATTGCATACTCACACGAAAATTTGTATCAGCGAGGCAAAATTTGCAAGAGATAGGACACAAGGAACAAATATAAGTCAAACAACGAACGAAGAACGAATTGAACCAATCGTGATTTTGAGAAGGAAAAATTCAAATTGCAGATTAGTGGTTAAGATTTATCGTTCTACTATAGATGGATAATAGATTACATTTGAACGGCAAACTTCATGTAAGGAGAGCAAAAAAAACACAAGAAAAAAAAATAAAAAACAAAAAGAAGCTTATTTCTAAAGTTCGGCCTACGTACATACATATATTATTTATCATTGAATCCATACTCCCAAGGGTGAGGGCACAAGGGGATTTAGATTTCATCGGATACCTTAAGAATGTGATGCAATTTCATGCATTGCAAAACCGAGATGACACCAATTTAGTGTCAACATACTAAGTTGCTCTCTCTTTTACCCACCTTTCATTCATTAACAGGCGGCATTTTGAATCCTTCTGAATGCTGAAACCTGGTAAGACATGTAACAACCTTTTATCAAAATGCATAAGAATGAAAAAGGTTATAATTACTGCAAATTTCCACCGTAAGTAGATAAAGGAATAATAAACCTGGGCCTATCAAAACTCTAGGGGAAGCTGGGGAAAGCAGGCATCTGTTTTCTTAAAATCTGTCCATACCCGAAAATGTTTCCGGCATAACTTTCATACTAAACCTTTTTCACTTAGCAGAAAAATCAGGTACATTTGACAAAGTGTACAGCTTTTTAAATTCAAAATTATGTAGACAATTGATATTGAAGTGTGTGTTGCTTTAAAGACTTCCGAAACCAAAATAATACCAAATTAATCAAAGACTTGGAAACAACTGCTCTTAGTTCAAGGACTACAGAAAAAATTACCCTGCTTCACTTGAACGGAAAAGAATGCCGGAGAAGCTTAAAAGGCATGACAGGTGAAACAACCACTTAAAGAACCCATCTGGCTGGTTCTACGAAATAATATTGCCTTGTGAGGAGTTGTAGCAACTTGATGGGCCTGGTTGGTTAAAACTGAACTTCTCATTTCCTGTGCTTTTTTCTGAGCCAATCTTAGCTTGTTCATAATCTTATCCATAGACGATGCTCGCTTCTTTTCCAACTTCATCTGAAATATCAAAATGAGATCATGATCTATTGTTGTTTCTGACCGTCATGACAACGTACACAATAACTTGTTCATCCTTTTAAGATAAGGGATATTTGATCATTGATCAGAAGAACTACTTTACTATCCAAATGGTTGTAAGAGCATGCCATTAAGCAGAAAACACTAGGAATTTTATAATAATTAATAAATATATGTAAGAGGAGTTTCTTGTCAATTTTCCTAAAAAAGAAAACACTAGGAATTAACCTCTAGTTTCCGTATTGCTGCCTCAGCTTTTGCCTTCTGCAAGTTCTCCCATGCAGTGATTCTGGCTTCCTCCCTTTTAGTCCTGGACACGTAAAAAATGCTGGAGTTTCAGAAACAATGTGAAGTTTATGCAAAGATTTCTTACAGTTAATTATGATGTTTTCTCAGGTATAAAATTGTCAAATCAAATATTTCACATTATATATTTTCTAGTTGCAATCGCATAAGAATGGTCAATTTTTGTTATATTTGGAAGGCAATAAAGAAAGGACTCCCGCTCACTTAGCATTTTAATTAAATCGTTTTTCTAGTGTGTTCTGAAAGACAAACAAGAAGAACTTAATACAGTAAGTTTTATTAAAAATCATAGAATTTAATATATAACATTAAATGCAATAATTTTAAATTAAAATATATTTTTTATTAACTTTTTATTGTATATCTTTCAACACACCTTACCGTTATTTAAATAATTCCAAGGCCAATAAGATAACTAATTTAGCAAATCCATCACCATAAATTCTACAAACTCCAATTGTTGTGGTACCCATCATGAACTATATATAATTCCTAGGTAACTTGTAGCATTTAAATAAGTGCAGGGAGAGAAAAAGGTTAACTGTAAAGGGAAAACCTCATTGATTGTTTAACAGCAAATTCTTTATATGATCAACAAGTTTCTGTTTAAAATTGTCCCGACTCATTCTTTAATTGCCAGAATAATTAAACGAAATTGATACCATACTGAAGTAGACATACTTTGAAACATTCTTTGACCTTTCAGAAACGTCCCAAGATGAAGATCGACAGCTTGTTTCTTTCTTTTTCCAGCTGTCAACATTTTCAGAGCCTCGGCCAGAGAATAGGGCTCTGTGTTTCTTCGACCACCTTGTCATGGTTACACGTTCATCTACCTGCACATCCCTGATATCCATTTTAGAGAAGGAGACACTCTGCAACTCTGTGATAGGAAGAGCAGGTGGAGTGGAAGCAGAGAAAGATGGCCTCATATTGGGAGAGGAGCATGAGCTACCCTCTGGGCTCATCTGGGTTGCCATATCCCTCCTTGAAACTCCAGGAGAGACATTAGTGCCCGCATCTTTGAAACCATCAAACTTCTCCCCTGTAAATTAGAACCAACATAAAAATTATTATATCCTAGTACTAAGTACACATACATAGACACAAAGCTGTTTCCCAAGCTCAACTTGACAGATGAATTACGTCAAAATCATATTCATAATTAAGTTTAAAAAAAAAGGGATACAATAAAAATATAATATAACAACCTTGGGCAGGCATTGATGACGGACTCTGCATCTGAGAGCATCCATGGACACTAACAGAGCGAGCCATGCAAGGATCAGTTCTGGTGGGAGGCACTCCGCAACTGCCACCAGAACTGGTTGTCAACCCATCAGCGGCTGAGATATTAACAGCAGCAGAAAATGGAGAAGCCGCCATAAAACTCCCCGAATTGCCACCATCAAACAAAGGCCCTACAGGGGAGTACATGGAATAATACGCAACAGCAGCAGCACCTGGGGGGCCAAGTGGACCACTCTTGGACTTCGGCCTCCTCTGCGGTGGCGGAAGCGAGGCCCTGCCAGTGCCATCACCAGAAACGGGACTGAGAATCCACCGCTCAGCATCTTCCCATTTGGATGGCAACGTTCTCCCATTGTTTAAAGGCAACAGAGCCGCACCAACATGTTTCCGGACAGCACCTGTATGCAAAGGAACTCGCTCTGAGCTCCAACCCTTTTGCATTGCAACACCAGCTTGAAGATAATTAGGCGTTCCAGGACTTGGGAAAGTGCCAGAGCCAGAACCAGACCTTCGTGACGAAACAGTACTCTTCTTCATTGCTGCCAATCCCAAGCGAGGCGAAGAAGCATTGTTCAGGTCTAAAGAAGCAGGCCTTCGCCGATCGTGCTTCTTGAATAAGGCCTCAGATCTTGATCTCCGATCCTGACATTCTATAACAGAAAATAAAAATAAAAATAAAAAAATAAATTATACAAAAATGCTTGAATTGAAATTTTGAAACTGTAATTTGTAGTGGTAGTTAGTAACGGTACCTTTAAGAGCTAGAGAGAAAGAGTTTCTCGCTGAATCAAATTCCAGGTGTTGATTTCCGTCTTCAGTGTCACCGTCACTGTCTTCTTCCTTTTGAACTGCGATACGGAAAGTGCATCAACAAACAACAACGCACTCACTTTTTTTTTTTACTTCTTTTCAATTATAAACGAAACTAAGCGTAAGTGCATGTTAAAGTAATAATAACGTTACACGCACACACCTTTCGCTTTCTCTCCCTTTCCAGAGAAACGAATTTGGTGCTGCTTCTTATGTACTGCATCCGCATGATGCAGTTGCAGTTGTTGCTGTTTATTCGGATCCGGATCTGGATCTGGACCGCTCCAGCTCTCGCTTGGAGCAAAATCGCCGTCGTGTTCCTGCGCTGCCAAATGCTGAAACATAACAACCAGATCCTCTCAGACTATCACCCTTTCCAGCATGTGAGAAACTCAGTTTTCATTTTCAGAATTTCAATTATTATTTCAACAGCACGTTCGAGAAGGTTAGAGAACGTTTCGCGTACCAGCGAGAGTTCGGAGGCTAACGAATCATGATCGTGTGCATCGGAAGCGAAGGAACAACGATCGACGCTTGCGGAAGCGGAAGAGAAGAGACTCAAGTTGGATTCGAGCGTGAAGATGACGGAATCAGGGCTGGTGTCGCCGCCACCTCTTCTGGAACCCGCACGCCTCCAGGATCTTCGTTCCTGAAACCCTAACTCTGGCATTCTCAACAAGCATTGAATCGCATTTGCATTTTGCAGAGAGAAAGAGAACCACACACTCTCACACACACACTCACGCAGTAAATATGGCGGGTATTACTATAAGGAAGAAAGATGCGTCGTAGCATGGATGGTGTTGTTGAATTTTACGTTTTAACACGTCATTGTCGTTTGACTCAAAGTAATATATATATTTATATATATGCTACGAAAATGAAAGCCAAAGCTAGGATAATGACTTGCTGCAACGGAATGGGATTGAGTGAGTGTGAGTCATAGTCTACTTAGTTAGACTTGTAGTCGTGTCTCGTAGACTATGCAAAGGTTCAAATATTTATTGTGAAGGTGACCTTGTGGGTGTACTTTTGAGGGGGAGCTATATTTGTCTTTGTTAATCAAGTGAGGGTTTGTGGGATTGTTTTCTTTTGATGCTCAATCATCGTAGTTATATTTGACCGTGGAATTTGACTGGGTATGAAGTTACCATGAGGTCCATCTGTGCATTAATTAAGGGGTAATTTTTGTGGGTATTATTGTCTTTTTGGTTCCACAATTAGAGGACCAATAGTGATAATCATGATTATGCCTGCTGCGGTTTACCGTTATGGGTCCAAAGGTCCTACTTGATAGCCACTATTCTTTCTTGCTTTTGGGTTAAAGTAGGATTACTTTTTAGGCTATCACGTTGTTGAACATTCTTTAAATGTAAAATTTAGCTGGGGGGACCAAATTATCCCTAGAATCATTTGTCATTACTTAAAATATTTATTCGGTGATCCATGATAATTAGAATTAACAAAATTTGAACTAAATTACTTCAGTTGATTAATTTAACGAAATCTTTCTTTCACTTTATCTATCTATTTTGTTGTGTACTTTCATCGTTTTTTGTATTGAGTTAACTATTCACCGTGCATTAATTAAATACGAGATGTTAAAAACTGTCATAATGAACTAACCTAAATGATTGTCTTCCTTATTAATAGTAGTAGTTGACTAACCTAATATTTCTCATACAATAAAAGTGATTTATCTCTAACTTTTATTTTCCTATTTTTCTTAAAAAAACCAGGGGAGGGGGGAGCTACAGGAAGCTATAGTATATTTCTAAAATGACGATTTATGTTAGTGTGCATTTATTTCTTAACTTTAGCATTTATATTCCCAAGTTTTAGCTGTATGTATTGAATTTTAAATAAATTAATAAGTTCCCTGTGTGATTGTGATGTTGCACCAAAATAGAAGTCGGCAATTATTTTCTTAAAATAAAGTTTCAAACAATTATGGTTTGTATAATTATTTTGAAAATTAAAAAATAAATGGCTTAGATAAATACATTCTACGAGCAAAAGTAGCATATAGCTATATCTAACAAAATATCTATTATATATATACATAATAAACTCACAAAATTTTAATCAAGTCCAAAAGGGATGATCTTTTTAATTTAATATTTTATATTTGCCTATTCCCTTACGATATAAAAGCGCTCAATATTGGGTACCGAAAAAGAAGCGCTCAATATTTTGCTAAAACACTTTTCCTTGGTCGTGAAACACTTTACTTTTTCCTCCACTACTAGAAACTATTTAAAAGATATAATTGTTTAAGAAAGAAAGGGCCGATTATTGCTGAAAGTGACAAAATGTGATTCAAAATATAATAATGCCGTGCGAATATGAGGTGGGTAGGGAGCATAATTTCGTATATGCTCCCTAAAATGTAATTTTGACATCTTAGTAAGAAATGACAACGAAAGGGAAAAGGAAAAAGAAAAATGTTTGTTTGAGTTGTCTCCATTGAAAACAACAGTGAGCAAGTGCCGGCCATATCTTTCGGTCCCGACAAAATTTCAATTCTTAGAATTCGTTTTCTTTACTACCATTTCAAAAAATAAAACAAAATCGTGCTTCCTATTTTTATGCAGAAAGGCTCGCGCATGTGATGCCTGACTGACATTTTTCTCAGCAAAAATTAATGCAGCTAACAGCTTGTAATATTTTAATATCTTTGGTGAAATATTTAACCTCTTTCGGAAGCAACGTAACGAGGGCGCAAATTAAGCAACCATTTGGTGATATTCAAAGGCCATAATAGAAAATGCTATTCAGCTTTACCCTTAAGCCAATGGTTTAATTAATTGTTTCCCATATAAAGAAATCGCGTTCACGCTCCCTTGGAACCAATCTGCGCGACTTGGAAACGTGGACCCGATCAGTAGCTCATATGCCATCGTGATTCCATCTTAAGGGATCTAAGCTAGAACTGCCAATGCTATTCTGGCAAATCTTCGTTCACAAACTTCCTTTAATTTTGTTTGTTTTAAAACAATAGAGAAGAGATTATTGCGATTAAATAAGTAAAAGTAAGTTGATGAATATATCAGGGAATTTAGAGCAGATTGTGTATTAGAGTTTTTGAAAGTAGCGTTACTCAATCAAGAACTGAGGCATTACTTACCCACCGTAGGACTGTCATTTATTTTACCCTGGCCCCAATAATTGCATCTATTTTGCACAACGAGTAACGCTATCTGGCAACTAGTAAGACAAAAAAAAGGCAAAATAGATAAATAATAATGGGCAAAACTATTAAAGTGGGTGAAAATTGTACGACACAATTGCAAAGATTCATAAAATGGTAATTGATTCTCATTTACAATAGACCCCTATATGTGTACTAGTGCTTGGCCTTAGATCTCAACACTCATGGATGGAAATAGCTTCAGGAACTATCCATTTGCCAGAACAAGAAGATTTGTTTTGTCACCGGCAACCCGTCTTTCAAGCTTGTGAACTAATGGGAACTATTCTCTTCTACTGGCTTATAAATGCATTTATACAATCCAAAAACCTATCCCAAAACATTTTCTCTTTATCACTAGTGCCACTTAGTTACATTGTAAAGTTGTGCATATTTAAAATGTTTAAAATATGTACACACTCCTCTTCTTTTATTAAGCTAAAATGGCTCACCAAAACAAGTATAAATACCAGCAGCGTAACTTAAAAATCACCTTAGATAGTGGGGATTTTTTGTGTGAGAGGAGGGATGATCATCCTTAATTTCACTTGTAGCAGAAGTGGGTGTGTTTAACCTAGCATCCTCCAACTGCTGTATCACTGAAATAAGCATTGATCGCCTTCAACCTTCCATTTAAATGAACTTTCTCCACCTAGAACCAATATAGTAGAAAGTCTTAATTTACCAAAGGAAAAATATATAAGAAGCCACCAAAGAATACAATGATGATATAAGAACATAACAATAAACCTCCTAGTAGATATATTATGATTCACATAAGATCAGTGGTGAAGATAACGTAGCACTAAGAACCATAGTGCACTTCGTTTCTTTTTCTCCCTTAAGTATTGATAAGTCATTTACTCATATAGTAAACTGAATGGCACATTTCATTGAGTAAATAATCTAAGATTAATGTAATTAATTGGAATACTCAATGAAAAGATGTTATTATTTGGACTGCAATGAATTGTTCAATTATTAATAATTTGTAATTAGATTTTGAAGGGTTGAGAAAAAACATTGCAATTGGATCTAAAAGAGAAGTTGAATTATTACAGGACGTATTTGTGAGTACATGCATAACTGATTGTGAGGACACGAGCTTGACAGAGCACATAAAAACAAAATTTTCTACTATAAAGGCGATGTCTTTTATACACTTTTCAAACATAGAATTTTAGATTTTTCATACATCTTTACGTAAGGATGTCTTTCGTTCCATTTTTCCTTTTCTCTTGCATGAGATTTTAATGGGAAGTAAGGATACATTCCTCCATTCTTTTTACTCTTTAATGAAACAATGATTCTTACATTTACATTTTCTTGTAATTTGCTTTCAGTTGAACATGGAATTTATTTCTACAATATATTTCAGTTTCTTCTTCTTTATTTCTGCTATGTCTTGCTAATTTTATTGGGGTTGAAAAAGGATGAACTTAATCTTTTGTTCATTACAATGAACTGAACATTGAATATAACTCAAATGAAATTTATAATCTAACGTATTTAATTTTGAACTTAATGATTCTATGCTTCTTCACACTCAGAGTTGATGAAATAAAATTTATAAATGAAAAGTTGTAATCTTTCTTGGATTTGGATTAAATCGCTCATTATAAATTATATAGGAATAGGAATATTTAATGATGTAGTATGTTGATTTCTTAACTTAATGTTGATCATCTTTTTATTTGCCTAAGGAATTAGGAATCTAAAACTAGTTTAAAACCAATCAACTAAGAAATTGGTATTAGGTACTGTGGAAATTCTAACCATTAGATTGGATTATATTATGGGTTATATATATATATATATATATATATATATTTGTATGCAATGAGAAGGGATTAAGAGATTCTGAACTCAACCCACTTCTTAATCAAATTACAACTCAATTTTCATTTCCTTATTAGTTACATTCTGCAGCTTAGCTTCATTTACAATTAATTTCTTACGCTTAACTTTTACTCTTAATGTTAATTTAATTTTCCAGCACTTTTAGCTTACCTTTACCTTCTACACAATATTTAAATTTTCTTTCAAAGTTTTACTCTATTTTTCAACACAACTAGCGATATTCTTGTAGTTTAGTAATTAACATTAATCCCAATGGACGATAAAATTTAATTGTTATTGCAAATAATTTGGTACACTTGTCAACCCGTTTATCAAGTATACATTTGTGTTTTATTTTCCTCCTATTTTACATCGTTGCCACATGCTTTAGCCCCAACTTGTTTATTAGCATAACAGCCAGCTGGGCCTGTATTTTTTGTTTTAAGTAATTTTATACAATAAAGATCTTAACAAACCAAGCAGCTGAAGATCAAATTAAACTACAAAGCTGCTTCTACAGTAACAAAATCATATAAAAACATGAAAATTCTTGGACCCAAAGAAAGGGAGGAAAACAGCACAGTTAATGAGATGGATCATGAGGATCAACTACTAACTGCATATTCACATCTTGTTCGTATCTCCTACTCTCAAGACCAATGTTGTTAAAATCGCAAGATCGTACGATTTTACGATCTGAAACCTCCCTCACAGTCTTGATCGGAACTAGGATCGGACATCAACAAGATCGGATGAGATCCTGGTCTTCTTCCTTAGGATCGTAAGATTGGTGATCCAATCCGATTATGAGGCTCGATTTTCTGGGTCAGTTTCTAGACTTGGGTTTCTGGGTCCGGTTTTTGCAACCCAGTTTTTAAAAACAGTTATAGGTAAATTTTTTCCCATTCTCAAGTTCTCTTCCGTGTGACGACACCCCATTTTCTCATCTTCTCTGTTCTGAACTGTGCGACCAGTCGACAACACTCAATCTCTCATCTTCTCTGTTTTTGAACTGCAACAACACTCAATCTCTCATCTTCTCTTTGTTTGGGTTCTGATTTTGCAACTTCTACAGTGTGGATTTCAGGCTTTCAGCTGTTTTGGTTGGTTGGTGTTTGCTGTTCTGTGCGATAATCTCTCAATCTTTCCTTTCTTCTTCCCATTGGTTTTGTGTTGGTTGATGTTTGCTGTTCTGGTTTTCTATTTTGTTTCACTGTTCTCCATGGGAGTGGCTGGTTCTACGTGTTTGATTATCCTGATTGAGGCTTGTAAAATTTATTGTAATAGATTAGTAATTATGTGTTGTATTGAATCTAAAATCTATGACTTTTAAGTTATGTTTAATTAAATTATGTGATTTAGATGTTAATTTCCTTATGTATGTTATTTTTTATGCTTATATATATATATACCAAACATATAAAACTATACTTAGACATATATATATATATATATATATATATATATATATATATGTGTCTAAGTATAGTTTTATATGTTTGGTAGAATCTTACAATCTATTTTACGAACCCACAATTTACGATTTTTTACTCCCCTCACGATCCTAAGGTAAGATCCCGATCTTGACAACATTGCTCAAGACATCCAACATACAACCTACACTTTTTTTTATTTCATTATTTTCCTAGCATCATCCTCCAAACTAAAGGTCCCCAAAACTGGGCAATTGAATACTTGAGTAAACGGAAGTCAGAGTTACCACATAATACACCTATAAAACAATTCATGACAATATATCTACTGCTCTTGTTTATTCTGTTACACCTTTTAAGCCAGTATTATTAACACTATTTTCTTTCCTTTTTATTTGTAAAAATTTGTTTTCCTAACTTCCTGTAATAAGATAGTTGATTGTACAGATTTTAAGTTTCTTGTATTTTGTTAGGACAGATTACATTTGGCTACGTATTGTAATTTTATGTAGTACAGTCAAAATGAAATAATATTCAGTTCTCTGGTATTTTCAAGTTTTTCCCCATATTTTCAAGTGAACACAACAATCTGATCAAGTTAAATACAGTTTCATCTAAATAGTTTATCAAGCAAGCAAACACAAATCACACCATTGATAATAAAATACCCTTAACCCAAGTAAGACATATTGCATCTCTTCCCCCCTCCACAGACACACTTTTTTCCCCCTAAAAACATAGGGGATATTCATAGATTACACTTCAAAATAAAGCAAATGAAATAAACAAAAAGTTGAAACTACCTCTAGTGACCATGTTGGACAAGAAGACAAACACAATTCTGCCAATTGGTTGAAGTTGATGTTTCTTGGAAGGAACATAACAACTCTGGAAGCTATCTCCTTTGCAACATTGAATAGTGTATATCTACTTAGAAGCAGCATTGAGTTAAAATGGGAGAGTAGAAGGCTATGTATCTTTATACCAAAAAACAGAGTTATATATCTAACTAGAAGATTAAAATTCAGACAAAAATCAAAGCAAAAAGACAAGCAGATAACCCACCCATCATGTGGTCTAAGCATTGTCTTCATGTCATAAGTTGTAACCTTGGCATAATCAGGTCCCCCCCATGGTGGAGATAAGAAAACAGTATCAGCCTGCAAGGCAAAATATTTTGTCATGAACTATCCCAACATGATTTGGTTAATATCTAGAACAAGCTCCTTGCAAGTAGAAATCACATACAGTTCCATCCAAACCTTGTGCATAAATTTTAATTTAATCAGAAAAGTGGGAGCAGCAAATGATTGAATCTTGGAGACCTTGACCGCTTGGTCAAAGAAGCTTAGGTACTGTATTAAATATAAACCATCCTAAAAGCTTAAGCTACAAGGAAGAAGGGCCAATAATGGTATTTGTTAACACATTTTAATTTGAACTCCTAGAAATACACAAATATTGCTCATCAGAAGGTAGGTAGCAGAAAAGCACTAGGCTACTGATAATAACATCATAACTGTATCTTCTTGCATGCTAACTAACTAGAAGGTAAGACAACATGAAACAGAATCAGCCATGGATTGAAACACATTACATGGATGTATTGGGTAGGGGAGAGATACAGACTAAAGCTTATTTGAGAAGATTGTGATAATGCTACAGATTCTACAATGTCAGAGAATAGCCCCTGGAAATTTTGTACAGACGTGATTGATGTTTTTAATAGTGCATTTTCCATAAATGCCACAGTAGTAGATATATTCTTTTTGGGTCAGGGGAGTTGAGACAGCATGTCTGAAGCCCATTTTTGTCATTAATACTACTCATCCAGAAAAATAACACTGACAGGTCATCTCAAAATAAATAAATGAAGACAAAAGGAAAATCTACCACTCTTCTTACTAATATGATTATTCAATTATTTAATATTATCAATTGTCAGCATAATAAGTGTGCATTTTATCAATACATTACTTCCAAAAGTTAAAATTTACTATTACACAATTTACAAATTTTGGCTTCTTACAATTGCATCTCAGCATTCGATTCCATATGAAATTGCAAAGGAAGCAACCTACCAAGTGCAAGCGGATAAACCATGAAATAAGGGGAAAAAGATGGCAGATATTCCATATCTTAAGGCACAAAGAAAGAGAAAAATCAGGGATAAAAAATATGGAGCACAACTTTCTTATCCACTCTCTCTTTCGTAGGTCAATAAAGGTTAATCTGCTACCACTGACATGCTCCTCCCTCTTTTCTTACATAGATTCACAGTTTTGCACCAGGGTCTTTGAATGATTTCATGTAATGTTATATCAGCCATCAAAATTACATTGATCATTCGATTTTCCAAGGAATTTTAACTTCTTGGCAGCTACTTTGTTATTCCTGGAATATTTATATGAATTACAGACATTGGAGATTTGTGTGACTTGGGCAAGCCAATGGTTTCCCTTGTTTCATACAGGTTATGACCCAAGTTCCGATCAAGAGAGAATAAACAAGGAGAACAAAGCAGTGGGCAGGGTAGAGAGGAAGATAAAATAAGTTTAGAAGGCAGGCAGAGCGTAAGTCTCACCTTGGTATTGGTAAAGTACAGCAGAGGTAAAAGAACACAATTAGACAAGTAAGAATGAAAAAAAAAAGAAAGTCCCAATTTCTACTCTTGCCTACCTTCAATTCAATATATTTGTTACTCATTTTAAAAGATCCCAAAAAGCAGCAGATAACCATAACATATCCATTATGATATGGACCTTCCCCAAGCAAAAAATAATAAAAACTACTAACAGCATCAAAGCATGTAATATGATAACTTTAGTACCTTCAGTTTTGGTGCCAAGAGGAAGAAATCACCCATTATGAAGTCAATTTGATCATCCACCCCATAAATAGCAGCATTATGCCTAGCATAATCGATCTTCAATGGATCAATATCAATTGCAATTACATGTTTGCACCTGCAGTATCAAATGATTCATTGCCAATGCCAAGCACAAAGATAAACAATCATTTTCAAAGAATAAGAAGAAGAAACTTCCCATGGAAGACACGGGTATTTGACCAAAATTACAACATTATACCAATGTAGAAGAAATTATAAATGAAAATTGTTTAATAGTGGAAGAACATTAAGGATCTGGCTTGAATCACTTAACTAGATAAAATAATAAGAGAAATGCTAGCAACACACTCTTAACTATTAACTAAAATTTATTGAAATCTATAAAAGTATGAGAGAGAAACATTAAATTAGGAGTGAAAAAGAGTGGAACCCACATAATTTTTTAAATTTTCAATATATTTTAGTCAATAATTAAGACTGTTAAAAATAATTTATTAGAGTGTTATTAGCATTCCTCAAATAACAAACATCATTATTCTTAATCTAGCTGCAATTAGCAATCAAAAGGAAATGAATATTGGCAATAGCCTACATATATATATATTTATTTATTTTTATTATTATTATTATTTTTACCCTAAAAATAGAAGTATTTTTATGAGCTTGGCAAATACAACACATCTAATAAATATTGTCCATAAAATTCACCAAAAACATAAAATAAATTTATAGACGATCAACAAAGGACTACTAAGTACCCACTACTCAGTACTCACTGTTGAGCAAATTGGATGGAATTCCCACCAACGCCAGCAAAACAGTCAATTATCACGCCACTAGCACAACGTACTGCTTGATACCGAGCAATCGCCTCTGGGGTGACGGAAAACCATCCTTCCTCATCCATTTTTACACCATCATCAAATCTAGAGAACAAAATATACCTTTGACACCAATATTTTTCAACTGTAGCAGAATACTCTTCAGGCATTTCTTGAAAGTGAAGATCTGCAAAATGAAAAATGGTTTATGTCAAATTCAAGGGCAATAATAGCTCTCAACTTTCAAAAAGGTGAACCTACTGGGCAAAATCTATATTTAGGCATTAATATGTCACATGACATTGAGAGATTATATTTTATCAATCATACAAGCATCTACCCAACATTCTAGATATTTGTCTCCAAGAACAGCAAAGCAATCACATAAGTAAATATCAAAGTGTTATATGTATTGGACTTCTAGTAGAAAGTATTGTCATAACAGTGGATCCAATTAGCTAAGGGATTTAGTAGAAGAGCAGTTACCAAGAATAAAAGTATTGGCACAAACCTTCAATTTCATTATATAATCTCCTCTGCTTTTGTCTTCTTTTCACTTTCTTTCCATTCACTTTCTTTCCATGTTTGAAAGGATCAGATTTCGTATCCAATCCAGACATATCAATTACCATTGTTTCCAAGGGTGTATGATCAACTTCTGATGCTGCTAGAATGCATCTCTCATTAGAACTGCAAAGCATATCAGTTGTTAGGAGAGGAAGTAAAAATAACAACTAGAACGGCAAAAATAAAAAATACTAATCACTTGGTTAAGCTTTTGGGAGCATTTGTTCATGACATCATATCAGAGCCTCTTTAGCCAACTGATCAGTATTGTTAGTCTTGCCATCCCTAATCTTCCAATTTAAAAAACGTAAGCTACTTTGAGTGGATCTGCGCTGCTTTATTCTAGCTTGACCATTTTCACCTTACAACTTAAACTTCTAGAAGAGCTAAACCTTGATGCTTTCGTACCTTCTAGTTGTTTTTAACATTAAAGGCTTTGTCAACTTTGCAATTTATATAATCAGTCTGGGTAAATTTTTAGTACTATTAGGCATATTTAGATGACAAAAAGTATAAGGTAGAGGTTTAGCACTAATATTTTTATTTACAAGCTGCAAACCTTGTCAAGATCAATTTGCTTTAGTTGAATGTTGCAATGTGTAAAGAATTTTTATACAGATAAGTTTTTCCAAAATGATTTGATAATAGTTTATAGAGAAGCATTTATGTCATTTATGTATGCTTGAATTAAAACTAGAAAAAAGTATTACCTACTGATATGATCCAGAGTATTTGATACTGAGTAGCACGAATCCCCATCATAGAAACTAATTTGGTCAAGACACTCATCTGAAGGATCAAGAAATTGGTCTTCGCTATGTGTAGTGATATCAAAGGCAAAATTGCCAACAGCAACTCCATTCTCAGCCAAATACTCTTCACACTGCTTTCCTTCTAAGTTCTCTTCAATCAAGGTTTCCTCAGGTGGTTTAGTGTTATTTGGTGTCCCACACTCCTCTGCTGCCTTCGGAGCTTCACTATCACCTGATTCAGGACACCCACCAATTGCTAGATGCTCCATCCCTGAGGGTGGGTCCCACGTAGAAGTCTGTGTTTTAATATTATAGAAGTATCTTCTCATATAAAAAGTATCCCAGAAGACTGCCCAATCTCCAAGTTCACCACAATTATTTGAAACATCAATTCTGTCACATCCAGTCTTTTCTGAACTCACAGGAAACGATTCTGATTTAATAGCAATTGACTGACAAGTCCCATCATCATCATAAATAGTCACATAATCTGTATCTTTGAAAATAATTGGTGACAAATCTATACATCCATTGTCGACCAAGCTTTCACCATATTCTATCCCACAGTTATTGACATCAGCACCAGTCAAATGGCTTCCAGCAGAAATTCCCGTATCTGGAGCAGGTGCATTTTTTAAATCAATACAAACATTGCTGATTAAAAAGTCAACATCCTGGACATTGTTAGTTGCTGCCTTATTTCTGTTATCATTATTTATCTCCCTGGAAACACCGGTAGCAAACCCAGTACAACATGCTGACCTATCTTCTTCACCAGGGGCAAATTGGGTCATATCAATCTCCATTGCACCATCATAGTTAGATGATTTGCTTTGGCCCAACATTGATGTACAAGGTATAGAACTGTTTGTTTTATCATGAAATATAGCAGGAGATACATTTTCCTCCCCACTCACTTCATACAGAGTTTCATCTACATGGTTATGACAAGTACGTGGATGCTTTGAACGTGAACCCTTTTTTTTGCCTTTTCCTAGTCCATTTTTCTATGACAAGATAGTCCAAAAATATAATTAATAGAACTCTTGAAAGTAATAAGCTAAAGGTGTATACAGACCAGAACATGAAACATAGAAAAGAATAAATGGTGATGCTCACACTGAAAACAGAATAGACAAAATTTGTTACGAGAAAATTAAAATCAATTTTTTTATTGGACTAGTTCAGATTGCCACTGTATCAACGACACCTGTTATTGAATTGCACTGCAAAGACAAAAGCATCAACTATACAGTATTAAAAGCACACCTCATTGTCTTCTATAGTTAGATTTGACTTCACTATCTTTTAATCAGAACTTGGGCTGACAATGAGTTGAGCCATCTTGTCAGCTGATCAAAGCTCATCTGCTGACATGTTAATAAGTTAGGTTCACAAGCTAACCACTGAATAAGTATTTTCTTTTTTTTTATGCTACGATCGAACCTTTTTTAAAATTAAATATGGTAAAAAAAAAGAGACTAATTTATTGGGTCACAATTTTAGCCTAGCTCATAGCCTAACTTGTTAAGCCTGAAGGGTTCAATTGGCATAGAATTTGAACCTGGTCAATTAAGCTCATGATCAAGCTCAAAGCTTATAGTGAGATGAGCTTGCGCCAAGAAAACATACTCACTTTCTTATCAAACATTGAGCCTAAGCTGTAATGAATTCTTATTGGGTCAAGCCAGAGCTTGAGCACCATGGATTTGACTCTTGGAAAGTAAGAGGTGCAGTTTAAAAGAAAAAATATGAAAAATTATAACTGTTGATTAGAAAATTAATAGAATGGATTTAAAAAACTTCATAAATTGATAGATATGTGTATATATTTTATGGCCCATTTGGTGGACAAAATAAGAAAATAGGATAAGATAACTTTTCCTATCATATAATATTTCTGACATTTGTTTAACTAACAGGATATGATAAGTCTATCCTATAGGCTTATCTTCTCCTTCTCTCTGGTATAAATTTTACCCTATTGGAAGGCTGGGTTAAAAATAGACAAAATAAAATAATATAACATGTCTAGTTTATTATCTTAGTAAGCATCAAACATAAAACAAAATAAAAGTCTATCATACTATTATCGGGTAAATATCTATTTTAGTCCTTAAAATTGTAAATGACAATCAATTTAATCTTTAACTTTATAAAATTCTCACTTTAGTCCTTAATATTTTAAAAAACATTCATTTTAGTTCTTCTTTACTTCATTTGTTGTTGTTGTTTTATATATAAAAACAAAACTAAAATAAATGTTGTTTTGTAAAGTCAGAGATTAAAGTGAGATTTTTATACAGTCAGAGACTAAAATAATTGACACTTACAATTTGAAGGACCAAAATAGGTATTCACTACTTTTCTATCATGTTCTTATCTAACTTTCATATTTTGTTTTTCTATCCTATCATATCCACCAAATAGATGCTTAATTGTATTACAATATCAGCTGTTGATTTTCCAAATAACAGTTGTAACTCAATACTTTTCCCTCCAAAGTGCTTTTGTTGCCTTAGGCCTTGTTTGAGAGTTTATGAAAACTTCAATTAAAGCATTGAACCAAAATAATTAATAGGTTTGCTAACCTGCTTGTTTGTATGAAATGAAAGAGGGAGCCCCAAATCATTCATCTGTTTGTTAAGTTCCAACAAATCCTCAGGCGGAATAAGTTCAATCCAATCTGCATAAAATACAAGAAAAACATTTTAAAAAAGGAATAATTAAATAAATTCTCCACACAAGAAAACCACACAATTCTAGAATGAAAAGCACTTGCCAGGAGTGAGGTTTGAGGCGTGATTGTCATCAGCTTCAGCCAATTTCTAATACACAAGAAAGCAATACCACGCATCAAAATCCAAACGCGATTATTATAAAAGTTCAGTTAATAAACAAGCACATATAAACTTACGAAGCGTTCAGCTGATGAAGAAACCTGAAAGCCATCATCCCTGTGAAAAGTGAAGTACAATAAAATAAAACCTAGTTTTGTGCGTGCAAAGCAAAACAAAGAGAAAAGAGAATAGAGAGAAAGTACTAACCAGAGGAAGACTTGCGTGACTTTGAAGTTAGAACCGAGGGCTTCGATTGCAGAGCCTTCGTAGTCGGAATCGGCGACGACCATAATATTATTATTATTATTGGTAGAAAAGGATATTGTGTAGAGTAACTTACTGAGATGCACAACGGTCTCTCACTACCAGTGTCTATGTGCAGTGTGCACGGGTTTCTCTTACAATGCAAACCATCTTATGCACTTCGCTGCACCAGTGACCGAATTTGAAAATTTTATTTGGCACATGAGGATGGACTCGTGCTTATAGGTATTTAAATCCATGAATTTTTTTAGTAATTTATATATTAGATCAGTTATTATAATGTAATATAATAATAATTTTTTAAACAAATATCCTTAATTCCTTATGTTGCAGTTAAGGTTATGTAAAAATTGTGTTTATTTCTCTTTTTAAAAACATTAAGTAATTAATGTTTTATTGAATTTAAAAAAAAAATTAGGAAGAGATATATAGATATGGTAGAGAAACTAAGAAGTTAGATAATGGATATTAGTTAAAAGTTAATTATAGAATTTAATGCATTAAAAATTATATAATAACATTAAGTGTTACAGTTTATGATAAAATTAAGTATTTATTAAAAAAACTCTTATTGTATCATAAATTTTGTCTTAAAATTTATTGACAAAATCTAAAAAAAGATAGTTTGATAAACTATATGAACTATTCTATTGAAATAAGATAAAAATATATATATATATATATATATATATATATTTATGAGAATAATCAATTTTACACAAACTTTTTTAAACGTATGCAAAATATTGTTATTTATTATTTTTTTTATTGTGAAACATTAGACACATATTAAAAAATTATAACATAAATATATTATTTATTATTAATTAAAATTTATTAAAATTTAAAAAAATTAAAATATCACTTATATTTTCATTATTTCTAATAAATTTTAATAAGTAATAGTATATTAGAAAAATATAGTGTTAACACTCTTATTCTCCCATTCTTTCTCTTCTTTTACTTTATTAAATCAAATTTATAAATAATTCTAACAAAATATAATCAACAATTATATATACAGTATATGTTCATTATATATATAATTTAATTTAAATTTTTAAATAAAAATTCTAATTTTTTTTCACTATCATATTTTGTAAGTTCACATATACTTAGTCTTCAATTTGAGCAATGACTTAGCAAATTCAAACAACCTCTTAAAAGTGTTGACAATGTGGAAGAGAGGAACAAATGTGGAGGTTAAAGCTCCAACACATTGTTCAAATTCATTGAGTTACTACTATTATTCATTGAGTCATTGCAAATAGTAGAAATACAATGTGCATCTCTTTCTCTCGACAAAAGCAACAATTTAGTGAGTTTGAGTAACATGTCATATTTATAGTTAATAATAGTATATAATTTATATATAGAAAGAAATAATAACGCAAAATTTATGGACTTTTTGACTTTTGTAGGTAAAATATTAATAGAAATTATTAAAATAATATATTTTCAAACAATTTATCATAATAAATAAAATGAGTAATAAAAATTTGGTAAAATTCTTCTTAAAATGAGTCCAACCAACTGACATTATTATATAAGGAAGTGACACATGTCACTCTTATCAAAGTGACTCAAACTGATAAGGTGTCACTTATAAGGAGTGTGTGACACGTGTTAGTTGTTTTGTTAGAAGGGCATAACTCATGGTGTGTTTAGGGATGGTCATGGGCAGGGTATTATAGTATTCATCCTCATACTTGCGTTTTAAAAAAAGACCTGTATCTAATCCCATACCTGCGTGGTTATGAACATTAATCCTTATACCCGTACCCTCTGGGTATCCGCATACCTATCTTGTACCCATTACCCGTATTTGTTTAAGCAAAATATACTTATAAAAAAAATATGTTTATATAACTTCACATAAGTAGCATAATAATATAAAAATTCAATATGTAGTTGTCGAACAAGGTATAAATATAGATAAAAAAAAATTCAAAAATGACAAGTACTAAATGTATCTTAATACAATAATTTTTTACACTAAAATTCTTAGAAACAATAAGCAAAACTAAACACATAAATTATTTATCAACGATAACCCTATCTTGTGTGAGATTCGATCGATCAGTAACGTCAGAACGACAACAAAATAGATCTGCACAATAGGTGGTCCTTTGTGGGATCACTTGGTGACCTCTTATAGCGGCATTAACAACTAACTCTAATGAATAACGTTTCATAGTTGTTAGGTTTTAATGAGACAGAGATTGAGAATGATAGTAAAGTTAGAATAGAGCAGTTCAAGTACTAACAACGAAAAATGGATACATAATTTTTTTTTTTAACTTTTGAATTTAAAATTATAAGGATAATATATATATATATATATATATATATATATATATTATACATATACATATATTAATACTAGCATTTTTAACTCATATATTATACGAAAGCATTTTGTCAAAAATACAAATTTTTTAAAAAATATTTTAATAAATTAAATATTTATAATATATATAAAATTTAAAAGATAAATAGTTACAATAAAATTTTATAACAAAGAAATATATGTGTATATAAAAAAATTATACTTTTTTTATCTGAAAAAAATTAACAAATAAAAATTAACAATAATTTTTTATATTTTATATCTTTTCAAAAAACAATTTGAACGTAAATAAATAATAAGAATAATATTATTTAAATTCAATAGATTATAGTTATGCTTGTAATGCATACGTTGCATCGAAAAATATTATTTTAAATTAAAATTAAAAATAAAATTTAAATATTATTAATAAATAGTAAGTTTACGGTAATAGTAAGTGATTGTAAAATTTATAAAATATTTACAATATATTGATTATTTATCATTCACTTTATGATTTAAATATCAATATAATTTTATTAACAAAAATATTTGTGTGAAAAATATTTTATATGTGTCATATATAAATAATATTTTTTTTAAAAGTCAATCTCATATCAATTATGTAATAATTAAATTTTATCAGCCTAATTAAACGATATAAAATAATAAATAAAATTTTTTATGAAAAATATAAACCAAAATAAATAAATAAAAGATTTTATTATTAAATATATTTTTATATTAATCTTATATATCTTCACATAAATAGTATAATAATACAAAAATTTAATACATAGTTATAGAACAAAGTTCAAGCATGCATATATATATATATATATATATATATATATATATATATATATATATATGCAGTTATGGATTGAGGTGGGTACTTAGATATCCATACCATTCCCATTAAAATTTACGTATTTTTAACTATACACAAATCCGTACTCATATAGCGGATAAATACCTTATCCATTGTGGATAAATTTTGTCGATGTCATCGGATACTTTACCCGTTGTGATCCCTAAGTATATTAAATAGAAGTTGGCTTTTTAACTTTTGTAGGAAAAAATTAATAAAAATTACTAAAATAATATAATTTTTAAATAATTTACTAGAATAGGCAAATTGAGTAATGAAAAATTGAAACAACGTCATGGAGCACATTTGTGACACTTTGCAAAACACAAGAAAAACACCTAGCTAACCGAGTGAGTTATGTCATATGAAGGTATAAGTGAGTTATTCTTGTTGGAAGGGCACCAATAGCATTGTGTCGACATGTATAAGCTACTATCTATATATGAGTTGCTCCTATTGCAAACGTGTCACTTATAGAGTATCACCACGTGTCAATTTTATAATACTTAATAGTCACTTAAATATTTTTTTATTATTAGATTTGTAATTAATTATAATATAAAAATAATTACTTTAAGTATAATTAGTTATTATTAAATTAAATATAATAACACAAATTTTAATATAATATTATCCCATTATTATGTTAATTTACATTTCATTTTAGTTAACGCAACATTAATATTAATTTTTATTTATTTAATTAAATATAATTTAGAAATTTAATTTCTTATATTCCTTCATATAATGATATTGTTTTACTAAATACAATACGATGATTAAAATATTATTGCCTCAAATATAATATTCATAGACTATAACAACATTAAAAAAATATTTTACTGATTATACATAACTTAATACACTCATTTTTACAATTTCTTATTTTACTAAATTCATTAAGTTACTTAAATTTAATATACTTATTTAAAAGAATTATACCATAGAAAAATACTGTTATACATTTTCAAAGTTATATTAACTTAACTTTTTAACTTTTGTATCCCAAAAAAATATTTTTTATTTTACCTTAATTATCTCAAATAACTACCTTAATAAAATTTTCAAATCATATTTTAAAAATAATATAAAAATAAAATTATTTATTTATTCAAATTTTATTATGCTAAATAAATTTTGTATATGTTTTTAATTATTTTAAATTTTTATTATAGCATTTCCAAACTTATACTATACCTTTTTAACTCTTTACTAACCTAACTATATATTTTCAAAATTTTTACTAAATTAACTACATAATTTTTAATCTTTACTAATTATATTATAATTAATTTTTCTATTTTAATTCAAAAATAAAACTATTACAACTAATAGAAAAGTGAATAAATCAAATTAATTTTTTAAAATATAAAATAACAAAGCAGTAAAAAATATTTAAAAAATATACCTTTACGCTTGGTCTCTCTCCCCTAAATGGCACTCCAACAAGAGCAATGACGCCTTTTCGATTATAGCCACTTCTGTGGAACATTCCTTATGCAATCATGCTTGTTGGGGGGACTTCTTTTTTTTTTTTTTTTTTTTTTTGTTGCTAGGTTTTGAAAAGTATAATATTATTTTGTTAATTTTTATTAATCTATTGCCTATAAAACTCAAAAAGCTAAGTTTGTGATTAAAGAAGCTACATATGCACTCCAACCGCCTAACTTAAGTAAAGAGAAATTGTCAATTAATAAAAAATAAAATGATAACAATAATGATTTGTATTATAAAATATATGGTTTTGAATTAGATTACACACAATATAAAAAATTAGAGTTATTAGAATAAAAATAAGAACTGAGACAAAAAAATAATATAAGTAAAAATAAAATAAATATAAAAGATATTTGATAAGTTAAAGAAATGATCGCTACAAAAGTTAAATTTTTTTATAAAATTAAGAAAAATTGATTCACTTAAAAATAAAGAATTATATATTTTTATAAAAATGTTTAATCTCAAATTACAATCAAAACTAATTAAAAATATATTTACAAAAACATATATATATATATATATATCTTATATTCATAAATTAATACAAATATAAACTAATTTTTTTTATGCTTGTAAGATAAAATCTAAATATATTAAATAAAAGTTTAAAGTAAGTTATATTTAATATTAAAATAATTAAACTAAACATAGTAATTAAATTATAATGAGACTTACTTGAATTTAAGTTATTTAAGTATATGCAATTGATTCATTTTAAATTGTTCTAACTCTAAATTAAGTTTACTTTTAAACATGATTAAAATAATTTTTAGTAGGTTTCCTTTTATTCTCTCTATATTTATTTTTGTTATTAATTTTTGAAGTTTTTCTAATATTTTAAAGCTTTTATCTTTATTGTACCTTCTTTAATTCACATCATAAAAAGGATTTAATAATATTTTTTATAATAACTCAAACTTGAATTGCAGAATAGGCAATCTAATTACTAAATGACAAAGAAGAACTCTGTTTCATTTGGTTTTTTGTAGTCAAATGTCACGTTTAAACAGCATATGCCAATTTATGTAGTTTGATTAAAAACTAGGAATGGTGCTACCATTCGCAAGCACACGGGCCTCTGCGGAAATCCTCGGACCTAGGCCACAGTCCCAAACGTCGTCGTATTTTACCCCACCGCTTCTCTTTATTTCTTCGATTCTTTTCTCCCTCGTTGATTATTCGTTCAGGTAAACCAACCCAAAAGAGAGAGAGAGAGAGAGAGAGAGAGAGAGAGATGTCGAGGACGCTGGTGCAGCCCATAGGGCAAAAGAGGTTAACGAACGTGGCAGTGGTGCGTCTGAAGAAGCACGGGATGCGCTTCGAGATCGCTTGCTACCCTAACACCGTCCTCTCATGGCGTTCCGGCGTGTAATATTTTTCTTCGCCCCTTTCTCTTTATTATCCACTCAAATCTCCAATTTTTCATTTAAATTAAAATTATAATAACAACAGGGAAAAGGACATTGATGAAGTGCTGCAGTCCCACACCGTTTACTCCAACGTCTCCAAAGGCGTTCTCGCCAAGTCCAAAGATTTAACCGCAGCTTTTGGCACCGATGACCACTCCAAAATATGCTTAGAGGTATGTAATGTAATTATGTACGCCTCACACATACCATCAAAACTTTATGATAACGTTTTTATTCTTGTTTTGGTTTGAGGGTGCAGATTTTAAAGAAAGGGGAGCTTCAGGTAGCTGGTAAAGAAAGGGAATCGATGCTATCGAATCAGTTTAGGGACATTGCGACCATAGTGATGCATAAGACTTACAATCCCGAGACTCAGCGCCCTTACACTATCAGCATGATCGAACGCCTCATGCGCGAAATCCATTTCGCCGTTGATCCTCACAGCAACTCCAAGAAGCAGGTCTCTCATTCATTTAACTGCTACAATTCAATCAATGATTGTAATGATGATGCAAATTTTCGAAGTTAGTTAGATTTGTTTTTATGTATGATCATCATGATACAGGCTTTGGAGTTAATTCAAGAGCTTCAAAAGCACTTCCCTATAAAACGGTGCCCGTTGAGAATACGAGCTACTGCTCCTGAGGATCAAGCGCCTCAGCTTTTAGAAAAGCTCAGTATGTGGGATGCCACACTTATTTCCAAAGAAGGATCTTCTGCTCAGTTATCTGTGGTAAGTTCTTGTTGCATCCCTTTTCAATTTAGCTATACTGGATATTCTGATTGCTTGTACTTGCTGTAGTATATATTTCTTGAAAGTGAAACTAAAAGTATTGCGATGCTTGCTAGTTTTAGGAGCTCCTCTTATTATCTGTGCGTGCTTGGGTAAACTGCTTTGTTAAACACTTCTTTGATACATGTTTATTGTATGGGAGTTTATTCATAAGCTTCACTTTAAAACTTAAGTGAAATAAGCTAAGAATATGTTTTTTTGAAAGGCTTCTACGTAAAGCATGTTGAAATAAGGCGAGTAGAACGTATAAGAAAGTTACAAGCCTCTTTCATAAGCTCAAATAAAGACTAGTTTTAACCAATGCAATATTAGCTTTAATTTTGGATTTCTCATCTCATCCCCCAACACAATCAAATAACCCATAAAAATTTCAAAAGGGAAGTCTATTTCTATAACTATTCCATGATTCTCCTGTTTCAAATGCTGTTACTTTATAGTCCTTGTTTATGGTTAACTATTGAAAATATAATCCTTTCCAAAAGTTGTGTGGGTTTGGTGTATCTACATAATGTGTATACGTATACGGTTAATCTTGAATCTGCTAATGTGTTGAGAGATATTGGTATTACTGTATTATCTTTGATTGGATTGCAGATTTTTGAATTGGAGCCTGGTCTATATAAGGATTGTCATGATTTTGTTATGAATAAGATGCATGGAAGATTTGAAGTTCTTGCGCACACTCTTTATGTTGAGGGGGATACCCATGTGGACCAATACAATGATTTTGAGGATATGCCTGCATTGTTGCCCAAAGAAACTCCTGATTCTGTGCTTGAATTGAATGAGAAACTTCAAAAGCAAACAATTTCATCTAGGAGTAGGCCTACTGAGGGACAACAACAAAAGCAAAACAAGTGCAACACATGTAATGTTTCTTTTGAAGACTCCAAACTGTATAGGGAACATCACAAGAGTGAGTGGCACAAGCACAATATGAAGCGTAAGACAAGGCAACTCCCACCACTTACCGAGGAAGAGTGCATGGCAGACATGGAATTGGGCGACTCAAAATCTGATTTGAAGGATTATTCATTTTAAGATGATAATCAGTGTTTTAGAGGTGTTAATTGGTAATCACATAATTGAAGTCTTGTGTGTATACTTTGGCCAGTTTTGTCAGGATTGTAAATTGTTTACATGGAAATCCTTATATTGAAACCCTCGAGCATCCACCAGCACAAATTACATTGACAAATGAATTTCGATTTTCTTTTACTCTGGCAATATCTTAATGTACAATGTATGTGAAAATAAAGATTGTAGGTTTGCTTCATCAAGATTGGCTGCAGTTTAAGGAAATGAAGCAGATTGTCTATTTGTACCGTTTATTAACTTAATTGAGTGTTCCTTATATATATATATATAAAGAACATTGAAATATAACCAAGTCACCTTGTGAGAAACATTCAGATCGTTCTAAATATCCGAAGCATTCTCGTTGAAGAGTATACTTTGTGTGATCCAGGGAAAAACTGAAATCACCATCTAGAAATATGTTTTTTTTTTTTGTCTAAGTTACTTCTTTTTTTGTCTAAGTTTCTTCTCTTTTCGTCTTATTCACTTCCTTTTTTCTTTGTGAGTTTTGCGAGTATCTCTATTCATAAGTCTGAGATCCACATCTATGAGTTGAAAGGTCCGAATGATCCACTTTGTAATCAGTTTTTAGAATCAATAAGTCTTCAAATCTTTTAGATAAAGTTGTTATATTATTCTCAAGCATCATTACTTAGATCAAAAGATATAGGAACAAGGATCGTCCCATCTAGAATCTATAACTAGTTCTTTGATATCAGTGCTTGTTTCATTGCTATTGCCCACCATCGTGTTCCGTCCATCAATTGGCGGAGCAAACATCACAGTGGTAGGTGATTACAGTGTGCTAGTCCTCTTTCACTGTCGTTGCACCCTGTGTTCCTAGTGAAAGTCGCGAATTGATTCGAAAAGGATACAAGTTTTTGTCCACGGATAGGTGATAGCAAATGCATGTGGTGGGCCCTCTCAGGTCCTGGTGAACCAAGTTTGTTGGTATTCTTGTCAGTTTTCAAATCATGTTATTTTCAATTTATTATCTATATTTGTTTTATGAAAATGACAATGAAGAGTTGGAGGACTTTGTAGATACCTTATGAAGGAGAGGACGTGTAAGACCCTTTAAAGGATCCGATGCTACTTAAGCAAGTGCATAATTGGAATTTTAAAAACCCACAATTGATGGGTTTTCTAGAAGATATGCAATAGAGTCTAAAAGTATAGATAATGTTGAACAAGTCTCTAACTATGAGAATAATGAAGAGTTGTTGAAACTTGATGGTTGTGATAACTCAAAATGGCATGGGTTTAATGAGAAGGCTGATTTGCATGCGAACATAGGACTTGTGAAGGGATAAAGTTTGATTCTAATATCACATTTAGGAATGCGCTTTTGGAGTGGACAATCAAGAGAGGTTGTGATATAATACACACTCATAATGACAGTAGCAGAGTCACTGCCATATATAAAGATATATGTGGGTGGAGACTTCACGCTTCTCCAACACAGGATAACTTATGCTTCCAAATTAAGAGTTTTAACCCAATTCATCAATGTGGAAGACATTATGAAATAAGAGGGTGACAACAAAGTGGGTTGCAACTAAGTACTTGGAAAACTTTAGGGATTCACCAAATTGAGAGGCTACTAGCTTGATCTCTGGTTTACAAAGGGACGTTTATGTCAATTTACGAAGCATATCATGCAAAAACTCCTGCTTTAAAGATCATTCAAAGTGATGAGGGAAAGCAATTTGGGAAGTTATGGATATATGTTTCAGTTGTAACTTGTAAGAGAGACTAATAAAGGTAGTACAGTAATGATAAAAGTGGAAGGGCATGAATTTCAAAGGTTGTACGTGTTTTGATGCATGCAAGAAAGGATTTTTGGCTGGGAGTAGGAAATCAATTAGGGTGGACGGGTGTCATTTAAAAAGTTTAAAGGACAATTGTTGTATGCTATTGGTAGAGATGCAAATGATAACATGTTTCCTATTGCTTGGGCGGTTGTTGAAATAGAAAATAGAGTCTTGGAGATGGTTCCTTATACTATTGATTGAAAACATTGGTAGTATACTAGTATTGAAGAAATGGATTGGACTTTCATGTCTGATCAACAAAAAGTAAATTTTGATGATGTATCATATATATAATTAACTACTAGTATTTTATCAATAATATTTTTGATTGTTGTGTGCAGGGCTTAAGGTGTTTAAAGAAATTATGCCTAGTGTAGATCACAAATTTTGCGTTAGGCATATGTATAACAATTTCAAGAAAGCATGCTTTAAAAGGAAGGCATTTCAAGACTTGATGTGGAATGCTGAAAGAACATATAGAGAGTCTGAACATAATTATTATATGAATGAGATTAAAAAGATTGATATGCATCCATTTGAAAGGTTAAAGAAGTTTCAACCAAAACTTTGGTCCAGGTATGGTTTATATATCATATATTTTTAACCAACATATCTTAGATATATTATGATACATATATGTTGTGGTTGATGCAGGTTTGCTTATAACCCGCAACTAAAATGCAACATGCTATTAAACAATATAGTTTAGACATTCAACGTTTATATAAAAGAGGCAAGAGACAAACCAATCATTACAATGTTAGAGATGATTAGGAGGTAGTTAATGACGAGATTTCATGTGAAAAGGGATGGAATGTTAGCTTTTAGACATTCATTATGCCCAAGAATAACTGAAAAGTTAGCCGTCTCTAAAAAAGATGCAGTGACCTGTATAGTGTATGCTGGAGGGCAAAGAACATTTGAAGTTAGCCACTGTAATGAAGGGAATAAGGTAGTCAATCTTATAGAAAAGATATGTTGTTGCTGCCATTCTTGATTAGAGAGGAAGACCAGAAGACTATGTGGATGACATCTAGTCAAAAGAAATGTTCTTAAAAGCATATGATTGACACATTCATCCTATGCCAGGGGAAGAGGATTGGCCTGAGTGTAACTATGATGATATATTGCCTCCAAATGTGAAGATAGCACCGGGTAGGCCCAAGAAGAAAAGAATCAGAGAAGAGGAAGAGCCTGCTAATCCTCATAAGATCAGCAAAAAGGGCACTAAAATTAGGTGTAGCAATTGCAATAAGGAAAGACACAACGCTAAAACACGTAAAATGCCCTTCAATCTCAACATAAATATTTACAAACAATCAAAGAATATTACTCAAACAAAGAGGAGATCAAAGAAAGACAGCTAGTGGTCGGGTTCATTATGTTAATACCAATGTTTGCCTTTTGTATTTAGTATCATAGCTTGTCGTGTAAGCCGCCTTTTGGTTTGAGTATAAGACTAATATAGGGAGGACCATGATTTGCTTATTTTTTAACGGATATAACTATCCTTTCTATCTTAGTGGACTTATTTTTGCTGCAACAATCTTAGAGTGGAGGCCATATTCTGTGCTCGAGAAATCATGTAATTCAACCATTTACTGTTTGGTTTTAAAAAATGGTGTCTTATGCTTCTGCAAATTTGGTTTAGTGCTCAAATTTGTTATTGTTGTTAACGATCGAAATTGTTTTAGTCATTACTCACTGGGATAAAACTTGTGGTTATGGTACCTAGACAAAGCATCCTGAATCTATGTTATTTGGAGTTATTGAAATTATCAACTCTGCATATTTGTGTCAGATACTAGTTTAAGGTACTTAAATAAAGCACAGATAAAATTCCTAACAAGTCACTCATATCAAGATCAAAATTTATATGGAACAATTTATCCAAGTACATTCCAACCGAAAATTTAAAGGTTTGTTAAATTTTAAAATTGGAAGCTTCTAATTCAGTAGAGAATCAGTTACTAAATTTCCAGAAAACTTCAGAATAGCACTCCACCATTGCCTTGCTACAAGTTGATATCTATACCCTAACAAGTAATAAAATTTTAGAGGTTCTTTTACATTTGTTCCAGTGGATATGTATTCTTTATTTAATGTTTGTGACAGGTGATTTGGGTATTATAATGTAGGAATTTGATACATGAAATGCATATGAACTTTATAACCAGAGACGTTCATGAGAATTACAAGTAGGGGTAAAATCTCTTTTTTAACCCTATTGCTATGCAGACTGGACAATAATTGTTGTTTAGCATTACAAGGGGCACATGGGGTTGAATAATACTTATATAGTATTGTACATATAATACCATTGCCTGTGAATCTTTAATTTTATACTCTTAAATTTGATTGACATTTTCTGGATAATGAATACAGTAGATCTTCTGATTTTAAATGTCTTAATAAATTATTTAAAATAGTTATAAATCAGCTGCACAGGTTACTTATTAGTGCTAGGATAAAGAGAAGGCAAAAAGGCTGTTCGAAATAGAAAAAAAGAGATGACGCTAATTTGTAAAAATACAATTTCTTTTAGAGTTTTTCTATATATTTTGATTTTAAGAAAGTTAAATTATACTTACTCTGATCTTTTTTATAAGAAACAAAATAGATTATTTTCTTAATTTTTATTATAAAAATAAATAATAGATTTAAGAAACATTAATTGTTAAAAAAATTTATATTTTTTTATTAGTATTATTAATTATACAAATTACTAACTATAACATTTAATATTATGAATATTTTTGAAATAAAATTTATATTTATAAAAAACATAAGTGACTTAATTGCTTTCTTGGTCTTGAAGATTTAATTTTTTGTTTCTTATAAAAAGGCTTAGAGGTAGTATTATTTTAATATTTTAAATTTGTTCACTATTAATAATTTAGGATTTATTATAAAAATTGTAAGACTTTAAAGATTAATTGAATTAAAATAAAATTTTATGGTGCTAATCTATAAAAGGAAAAAAAACTAAGGTAATTATATATATTTTTTTCCTTAAAAAAAGTATACATAAAAAATTAACCGTAACATGAAAATCGAGAAAAAAAAAGATAATATGCAATTAATCTATTATGTTAAATTTGGCTTGTCTTTTCATTCTAAGTTAAATCATAATCGTAAAAACATTAATAAGTAAGATATTATAATATTTATGAAATTTTTAATTTAATTTGAATTAATTATGAATAAAGTTTATATATTTTTAGATTATTTTAAGAATAATATCAAAATCAAAGTGATTTAAATCAATATTTTATAATTTAAATTAAAATATTTTTAATTTTGCTTTATTTTTATACACAAATTTCATTTTTTATTGATAAATATTTTTTATTGATTATAATTTAATATGTTTTCAATTAAATAAATTGCTTTAGCAGTTAATTTTTTATTTAAGAGATATAATTTAGTAAATAAAAAGTTAAATATGTAATATACGTAAAAGAATAAAAATATTAAATTTTATCATGAATTACAACTTAATTTATATTACAAATTATACATCAAATTAGTTTACAATTTAACAATATTTACCAATATAAGTACTAAATTATAAATTTTTTGTAAGAATTAAATTTATAATTTAACTTTTAATCAACAATAAAGAGATTATGGGGTTGGTTGTGTTGAATATTATCGAAACACACCCCAACCCGCGCTTACGGGAGACCCGAACACTGATTGCCGATTGGACGGAAGTAGTTACCGCTGACAGCTGCAGAGAACAATGGAAGAGGCTGATACGAGAGAGGAGGTGGCCGTCGTTACGGTGGCAAACGGCGACGAGCAAGGGTTTCCTCATTGTTCACTGCATCACAATTCGGAGGAAGAATCTCCCCACGAAATGTTGCGAAACACAAAGGCTTCAATAGAGAACATCGTCGCCGAAATCCTTTCTATTAAGAATCACTCCAAACCAAAACCCAAACCACTCCTCACTCTCCGACTCAGAGAACTCTTCACTCAAATGTTCCTCCACTTCCTCACTCTCCGCCAGGTCCCTCACCACACTAGGGTTTTACAAATTTCATGATACGGCGTCGTAAAGGAACCACATGCATTTACACTTTTTTTTTTCTTTTGCTTTTCAGGCGAATCGCTTGATCTTGATGGAGGAAGACCGTGCAAAAACGGAAACGGAACGTGCGAAAGTACCTTTGGAATTCACCATTCAGCAGCTTCATAATCTGATGTATGAGAAAAGTCACTATGTGAAAGCGATAAAGGCTTGCAACGATTTCAAATCCACGTATTCGGATATTGACTTGGCGTCTGAGGAAGAGTTTTTTCGTGATGCGCCTCAACATATCAAGGGCTCCGTTTTGTCCAATCACAGTGCGCATAATCTCATGCTTAAGAGGCTCAATTTTGAGCTGTTACAGGTTAGTCACGTTTGTTTGATTTGGTTTATTGAAATTAAGAATTTTAATAATTCATCTGCAGTTTGATTCAGTCAGAGGTAGTTGTTGAAGCATTGGGAATATGCACTCACAGAGACTGCAATAATGTATACTATGTGCTCTTGTATTAGAGCCTTTGTGATCAATTGATTAAGAAGCTTTAGGACCTGTTTGAAAGAATTGATGAAGAGCTTATGAAAATAACTTATTAACTTCAGAAGCTCTTTTTTCAATAAATTTCTTGGTATAGTTTATCAAATTTTTAACTTATCCCTATAAGTTTCATGGTTAAATTTATAACATAAGTCATCATTAGAAAGTATTTATTGAATAAATACTTAATTAAGATATGTATCCAAACGCACCCTAAGATAGATTTGGATCTTGTAGTTTGGCAATTTCAGAACTCACCTTTGGATGCAGTTCAGTATAATGGAAATAGTTTGTTTTTATCATAAAAGAAAGAATGATTGCAAATATCACATTGCACTTTCATGGTCATCCATACCTCTGCCTCCACAAAAAGTTTTGTGTTGACAAACTAGTTGGTTTCTAAAAGATGGATTTTAGGGTAAATAAAGTATACCTTTTAATTTATAATAGATTGAAGATGCTTGTCCTCTTAATATTATGTCAATAGTGTCTGAGAACAATATGCATGAGCTTTCCTGCTAAAGATTGTAGACATATAGGTTACTCTTTTGATAAGCATATAACTTTACTACATCAATTTTGGGAGGTTCTTTGTCTCGTTCATTTATCTTGAAAGTTTGTGGTAGTAATCTGCTTTCTTTGTATTTTCTTGCAAATAGCTATAAATGTGCTTATGCTTTATATTTACAATTTTGTGTCAGCACAAAGAGCTTTGCAAACTTCATGAGAAATTGGAACAGAAAAAGAAAACCCTTTTGGAGACAATTGCAAACAGAAAGAAGTTCTTATCGAATCTCCCTTCACATCTCAAGTCTCTTAAGAAAGCATCCTTGCCAGTGCAAAATCAGTTAGGTGTTCAGCGTACTAAGAAACTAAAGCGGCATCATTCAGCAGAGTTGCTTCCACCACCTCTGTATGTGATTTACTCACAGCTGTTGGCTCAAAAGGAGGCATTTGGAGAATCTATTGATCTGGAGATTATAGGAAGCCTCACTGATGCTCAAGCTTTGGCTCGCCATCAAGCTCACAAGGACACTGGTAATTGAGAGTTGATGTGTCAATTCTAGCATTTTGTGGGTTGGAATCTATGTTAGCAGCGTCAGTGTATCTGTTGATGCTGGATTATAAACTTTAATTTTTTTGACTATTAGCTGTTGAAAAATAGGTTGTAAATCATTTCAATACTAGTAACAGTATAATGAGTAAAGGAAATGTTTATTAATAAATTTAAAGTACTGTTGTGCTTATTAATGGTCTTTTTCTCCATGTTTCCTTGGTTTTAATATTTAACATCTTTCTCAGTGTGTTTGATATACACACTTATCTTAAGCGTTGCTGAAGAATTTGAATATTCTGATCCTGAGTCCTTTTCATATTTATTATTTTCTATGAGCCAAAATAGGAAATCTAGGAATTCACTATAATGTGGTTTTATCGCTCAGGCATTTCCACCACCGTGGAGAGTCCCCAATTGCAAAGTGATGAACCTGATGAAAAAGTTGATCAGAGATGGAGTAAAAGGCCAAGGAGGGTTCAGGACAATAAAAGCCCCGACCAATCAGGAATATTTCAAATTCATCCACTTACTGTCTATCTCCACGTGTATGATGATGAGGTTTCTGATCTTGAGTCTGCGAAACTCATTACTCTAAAGTTTGAGTACTTGGTGCAGTTGAATATTGTGTGTGTTGGAATAGAAGCATCCAATGATGGTCCTGAGAATGACATATTATGCAATTTGTTCCCTGATGACACAGGTCTCGAGCTTCCTCTCCAGGTTTGGGTGTCTTGTTTACATGTTGATATATTCTTCATTTGTCTATCTGCTTCATTCATTTATTCTGTCACCTGTATATTTATGTGCTATTTATTTTTATTTGGACGGTGTTGCAGTCTGCTAAGCTCGTTGTTGGGGATGCTATAGTGTTTAGTGGTGATAAAACTTCGCGCCCTTACAAATGGGCTCAGCACCTGGCTGGAATTGATTTCTTGCCTGAGGTGCCCCCCTTGCTGCTCGCTAGATGTGAAACATCAGACAATGGGGAAGCAGCCAAGGGTGAAGATGTCATATCTATTCTTTCACAATATCGCCACCAAAACCGAGTACAGACAGTTCTGCAGAGAATTCGCACCAGGGTAAAAGCTCAGTTGGATCTTCAATGACCCGCCGCTCTTGTATGTTTGCAGTTCTACAACACGAAGGGCCATGTTGGGTGTTCAAGTGGGTCAAGTAAAAGGCTTGCTCTTAGGCTTATGCTTTGGTTGTATTATTGTGAGTGACCTCTTAGTACAATCTCCCTTCCTGCTGTAAATCCTTGTAACCTATATTGTGTAAGATTTGCGTTTTCAGTCCATTTATTGAAATTCCATTTTATTTTGGAGGATCTCCAAATATCTTGCTTATCAGCGTGGTGGTTAATGCTGACTTTAAAATTTGTTAAACTCCTTCACTGCTCTACAGGGAACAATTAGAATCCCTTGCAAAGCTTTAGTGGTCTCTTGTGTCCTGCAAAAGTATTCCTCGGACTTTGCACACTACTGTATGCAATTTGGTTGGTTGGTTATCTAGTAGAGCCTGACCCGTCCCTTCCTAATGAGGGTTCAACTCTGGTTGTCATCAATAAAGAGGAGCATATTTCGGAGTCAATGGATGTTGATTACTTGATGTGTTTGAACGATTTGGCGCCGCAAAGAAAGAAATAGAGTATAACGGAAGGTGAAAGCTTCCATATTTGCTTCCGAACGTCTCTTGTATTGGAGATGTTTTCTTTCTGGTCAACTCTTGTAGGTGATGTCAATCCGTGTGATGTTTTCAAAAGCCGGGCTGGACTGAACCGGCAAGTTGAACTAGTCAAGTTGTGATTCGTCAACACAACCATGATTCTACCGCATATTTAATCGAAAATTTTCGGTATCCTTGAAATACTTTTTTTTTTGTAGTTACGTTTCTTTATTTAGTAATTTTTTTATTTTTATTTTAGAAAAAGTTAAATTAGGAAAAATTGATTATGTCATGTCTTGTCGTACAGGGAAGAAAGTACATATTAGAGGAGTACTGACAAATTTTCTCGTAGCTTTTGTAAGCCACCGAACTTAATTCTGGAGAGTAGAATTCCTTCAGTTTGTTAATTTAAGTTAGAGTTTATTTGACTAAGTTGTTTGAATGTAATATTACTGAATCAAATCAATCGGGTCGAAGAACAACTTCATTAGGTGTAGTTCTTGTCGGGGAGTAAATTCACTTTAAAAAAATGCAGAATGTTAAGTCGACAGGCAATGTGAGCAAGAGAGTTATTGACTTATGATTGATAAAGACGCTTTGACAATCCTTTAGCATCCTTTTGGAAGCAGGATAAGATGACAAGATAATTTATTTTATTTTAATTTATTTTTTATGTTTGTTGATTAATAAGATATAATAGTTTCATCTTGCTGAATTATCTTGTTTTATTATCATAATTCAATTCTTATCTCGAATCATCAAATGAGATAACTTTTTTATATTATATACTTACTCATACTTTATATATTTTTAAATATTTATAAAAAGATAATTATTTTAGAAATTATATTTTTAATATTTTTGTAAGAAAATTATATGAACATTTTTAATAAAATTTTTTTTTAAGAAATTATATATTTTTTAAAAAATCTATAATTTTTAAGAGAATTATATATAAAAAAATTAAAAAAATTTCTCATTTATAAAATATATTTTAAAAATTTTTATAATTTTTTGTTATAATTATAATTTCTTTGTTAATATGAATTTTAATATTATATGTACATGAGATATTTTTAATTTTAATATATATATATTAAAAAGTAAAAATTTTATTTTTTCAAAATAATATTAATTTTAATAAAAAATTAATTTTTATTTAAATATAAGATATATTTTTATTTATCTAAAAAATTAAAAATAATATATTATTTATTCTACTATCATAAAATATATCAAACATGTGAAATGATAAAAGTTTATTTTTTCTTTACTATGTTTGTTCATTTCTCTATCCTATAATTTTCTTATCATATCATGTTTATGATACGGTTTTTTAAAAATTTTTTTAAGGACAAGATTTTCTTAAATCGGTATAAGTCTAAAAATTCTTACATTTAATTTATATTTAATGAATAATAATTTATTATTTCACTGGCTATTAGATGTAAGTTAAACGAAAAGTTTAAATTAAATGTAAAATTTTTTAGACTTATACTAATGTAAGAATATCATTTTTTTTAATGCATAGTTTAAGATTTATTTATTAAAACAGTTCAAAATATTTGTATTAAAGCCAAATAAAAAATTCGACCCAACAATATTAACGCTTCATTTCCATTCCTATTAAGATTTTAAAATGGATTAGGGCCGTACACTCATGAAGAATCATATATATATATATATATATATATATGGGATTTTTTTTTTCTTAGAGTATATTTCCATTTTGTAGGTTACGAGGACTAATCGCTTATTATATAGACATTACTTAAAAAATACTATTTATTATTAAATAAAAATTATCAAATGTTAGAATTGTCTTTTATTTGTATGATTTTTATTTAACGAAAAAACTAAAGTGTTAATATAGACATTTATATTAACATAATAATATATACTAACATTTGATATATTAATAATATATATCAAGATTTTATATTAATAATTTTTTGTCAATTTAGTATATCACACTATTAATATATATATATATATATATATATATATATATATTCACAATATTTATATTAGTAATTTAACTTGTGTAATACAAAAGTTGCATTAACAATGATAATTAAAATGTTTGATTATTTTTGTTTGTTAGTAAAAGATATTTTTCTTAATAAATTATTCTCTCAATAATTTATTTTTTTCATAGGAATCAATCTTAAGATTAAATGTAAAATCAAATACTTAAAAAATTTAAGTCTCGCTTATCTGTACAAATACATGTTAATATAAAGACAACGATAAAATAAATAAATAAAATATTTATTTGAAAGTATTTATTATATTAAAAAATTTAATATTTATTTTTAAATTGATTAAAAACGTTGAATAAAGTTTAGTAAAATTTTTTTTTATAATGTAATAGAATAATGATGTGATGTTTTAGTATATCCACGCTTCCGGCCAAAGCAAAAAACAATCAGGAAGCAGTGTGGAAAGCAAAGGGTTGAGACCAATTATGTGTAGTCAGGATTCAGAAGTTAAAAGCTTTAAAATAAGTAGGAGTCAGATTTTTAAAATATGAAAAATAAAAGTGAAAGATTTTCACGAAAACTCATGTTAGAGAATAGTAGAAATTATGGAAGAATATAGAATATTATTAATTGTTAATAATTTTGATCTCTTAATTTCTTAGTAAGTGTCTTTAAAATATTGGCTAGCATTTATCTAAGTTATATATATATATATATATATATATATAAAGGATCTTCTCACACTAGTATAAATTTAAAATTTTTATACTCGATTTGAGTCTTTTATTTAACTTACATCTAACAGTCAACGAAGTAATAAATTATAATATGTTAGATTTAATTTAAATGAAAGACTCAGATTGAGTGTAAAAGTTATATATATATATATATATATATGAATATTTTTTTCTTTTCTTTTACTAAAACACAAGTTACAAACATATTTTATAGATAATTTTTTTCAATTTGTATTAAAAACTTATTTATAGACGATAAATAAAAAAATAGATTTTATTTTTTTAAAAAATTTATCTGTAAATTTATTTATAATACAAGCATAAAAAATTCATTTGTAAATAGCTCGTCATTTAGCATGCAACATCAGAGACAAAAATTATAGATAAAATTTTTTATTTGTAATTTTAAATTAAGACGAGAAATATCAGGCGAGAATTATAGATAAAAACATTTGTTTGTGTTTTTAAAACATATTTTTGTCATTTAATATAACTTGTTTTTGTTTGTAAATGCATTTAATGGAGTTATAGATGGAAAAATCCATATCTAAATGTGGAATGTGGTTTTAAAACACTGCATTTCATTAAAGCAGTTGCAAATGGAAAACTTCATCTATAACATGTGAAACATATTAAAACCGTGTCTTCTCTTTTTTCTTCCGTATTTTCAATTTTTCTTATCTTTCTATATCTACTATCTTCAGTTCTTTGTCGATTGCTAGTTGTTGAAGTGTCTATTTGGAAAACAAATTGCACAATTGTGTTCTTGGTATAATATTCTACTTTTGATCAGTTTAAATTTTTAATTGTTTATGTAGAATAAAGATTTATGATTGCTAAGATAGAGTTGTAGGACTAAAGATTGTATGACTGAGGGATGTGTGTAAAAGTCCTTCCCTGAATTGTTTGTGTTTGCGAATATTGTAGAATATGCATGTGAAGTTACAAGAGGATGCACTTTAAACAATTTTAGGATTATGATGTGTATGTTTATGATTTATCTGTTAATATATTTTTTATATAATATATAGATTATGTGTGAAGGAAATGCTTATTTTTGTATTTAGGTGTTAACATATATAAAGAAATGTTCATACATTAAAGGAGATTTTGCCGAAATTTACATTAAAAAAGTATGATATACACAAATTTGGATTTAAACCTGATTATTGGATATGAAATGAACATGTGAAAGTAGTTAATATAGAAAATCAGTTTAGAATGGTTATGTTGGAGGTAGTTCAAGTACATCGCAATTAGATGAGGATGTAGATAATGTGAGTTGGGAATAGAGCAATGGTCATTATCAAGAAATGGTTTAGGATGCTATTGGTCTTAAATTTAGAATTTTTGTAATTTTGTAGGTGAATGAGAACTTAATGGAGAGATTGTAAGGTTTTATAGTCTTTTAAAAGCAGCAAACAAGCCTTTATAGGATAAGTGTGTGCATTCAAAGTTATCCTTTAGTAGTAAGAATGGTAAGCATTAAGTCAAAAGGCAATTAAAGTTAAAACTCATTTGATCAATATATTAAATGAATTAGTAAGCTTAGTCCCCAACTTGACTCAATCTCAAAAGACTTTTTACCAAGAAAAAAAAAGTCTTTAATCCTTAGGTTAAAAAGGTCATATATGTCTATGAGATCAACTCCTCACATAATATGGCATAATGAGAGTAAGAGAAGCAATAGGGTAAATGACTCATTTATCTCACGATGAGGCTTGACAACATTTTGATCAGGCTGAGTTTGCATTTGATCCTAGGAATGTAAGGTTAAGGTTCTGTGCTGATGGGTTTACTCTAAACAATCAGTTTAAAAACTATATTATTATTGACTTGTTGTGGTTACGCATTTTAATCTTCCTCTCAAAATGTGCATGAAAAATCTATATTTATTTTTCACTTGTATATTTCCTAATCTAAAAAATTCAAAGACTAAAATTGATGTATACATTCAACCTTTGATCGATAAGTTGAAAGAGTTATAGTGTGAGGGTATAATAACTTATTACTTATCAAGGAAACAAAATGAAGATAGCACTAATGTAAACAATTAATGATTTTCCTACTAATAAAATCTTGTCTGGATGGATGACTCAAGGAAAATTAGCATGCTCAATTTGCATGGAGGATACAAAGACATTTACCTTGAAGTATGGAGGAAAAATTATGTGATTTGCTTGTTATAGGAGATTTTTAAATATAGAATATCCTTATAGTTGTCTTGCCAACAAATTTAGGAAACCAACTATTGAGAATGAGGACCCTTCCGTTCGGCTATATGGTTATCAAGTATAGACAGAGTTATAAAATTTATAAAAATAATAAAAGTAAGAAAATCCATTAGGTTTTCTAGTTATGGGATGATACATGATTCGAAAAAACAAAGTCTATTTAGGAGCTATCATATTAGAAGGATAATTTAGTTTGCCATTGTATAGATGTCATGCATGTAGAAAAAAAGTGTTTAACAATATATGAATATTGTGATGGACACCGATCAAACTAAAGATAATGTGAATGCAAGACAAGATTTAGAAAAACATTGTAGGCATCCTGAATTGAGGTTATAACAAATCCCAGATGGTTGATGGTAAAAGTCAAAGGCAAATTACACCCTAAGTTTACCACAAAGACAAGATGCATGCAAGTGGGTGAAGGATTTGAAAATTTTGTTAGTTGCACTTCAAACTTGGATCATTGTGTGAATGTTGACCAAGGGATGTTTTCTAGTATGAAAAGTCATGCATTCATGGAATGTCTTCTACCTGTTGCATTAGGGAACTACTTGCCTATATTTGAAAGTCATTGACCGAGTTAAGTGAGTACTTTAGGAACCTATGTTTGCCTACTCTTAGAGTTGATCTGTTAGTGATAGAGAAAAACATCCATGTGATTATTGCAAATTAGAGAGAATATTTATCTCTGATTTTTTTGACTACATAGAGTACTTGTCTATACACTT